TTAAATTGTTTGCTTGTTAGCCACCTGCTAATTAACTTTAGCCAGCTAGCAAGCGCTAGATTATTAATGCCATGTAATCCTCCCTATAGCATATTGATAACCTGTCATCCTCCTTAGCTAGCGCTAGCATATTAATATCATGTCATCCTCCTTAGCCAGCTAGCTAAAGCTAGCACACATAAACACATAAACCAAAGCTAGCACTTAGCTACGTGCTAATCGCTAGCTAACCGCTAATCGCTAGCTAACCGCTAATCGCTAGCTAACCGCTAGCTACATGCTAATCGCTAGCTAAGCGCTAATCGCTAGCTAAGTGCTAGCTTTGGTTAATGTGTTTAATTGTATTATGCTCCTGAAGGAGTGCTCATGTAAATTAAGGAACAGCTCATAGTAGGGTAAAATATTTAAGGTGTATTGTTCTTATTTTGTGTTAATATTAAAATCATTCAGCTTTAAATTGTTTGTTTGTTAGCTGCCTGCTAATTATCTTTAGCTAGCCAGCTACCGCTAGCTTATTAATGTCTTGTCATTCTCTGTAGCTAGCTGTGTGTGTGTGTGTGTGTGTGTGTGTGTGTGTGTGTGTGTGTGTGTGTGAGCAGGCTTTGGTTGTCATGGCAATCAGGGGAGCCCACAGCAGCTGCGCACGCTCTCTCTCTGTCTCTAACTCCTCAGAGAGACAGAAACATTTAAAATGAATCCCCTCAAAAGCATGGCCAGGAATGACCGAAATGAAAACCGAAAAGACCGTGAGCGTCGTCATCTTGTTGACTATAGCACTGCCGAGTTTCAGTGGTTAAAGTTAAAAAATGTGACCTGGGGAGATTGAGAGAGAAGAGGTTCAACGAGCGTGTTTCAAGATTTGTCCTCTAAAATTAACATGGGAGTAGATGGGGCCGTGAGAGGGCGTTGCTGGTGCATCAGTGCATTTCCCGCCAAAACTATTTGTCTGACAGCTTCAGCAGTAGTATCACTGCGACCCCAACGAATTTACCTACGTTTCTATCTATAAATTATTTCTGTAGAGTGAAATTTGTGGCCATGACAGCAGTTTACAAATTTATTTTTCGACAAATTTTTCTCTCTCCCCACACTCTAGCGATGATGTCACGCACTCTGGCAGTTGAGGTTCTCGCAATACACACCCATTCATTTTTTTTTACCGGTTTTTGGCGATTTATCGGAAAACCGTTTGGCGAAATTCTTAGAAAAGTCATAGCACTCGATTCCCGGCCGAGCCGCACGTTTTGATACCTTTTTTGTGTATGTGCGACAAAAGCTGCGGGAGAAGAAGCGCGCCGAAAAACGTACGGAAGAATAATAATAATAAGCCCGAGGGATAGTAGTATTGTGCTTGCTTATGCAAGGCACAATAATAAGAACAACCCTAGGTTCCTCTTCAGCACTGTAGCCAGGCTGACAGAGAGTCACAGCTCTATCGAGCCACATATCCCCATAAACTTAAGTAGCAATGACTTCATGAGCTTCTTCTATAATAAAATTATTACTATTAGAGAAAAAATTTATCACCAACTGCCATCAACAGTTATCAGTGGCTCTCCAAGTTCAGGGACTTCTGTCAATGTAAACTTAGATATATATTTCGACTGTTTTTCTGCTATCGATCTTCATCAGTTAACTTCAATCATTTCTTCATCGAAGCCATCAACCTGTCTATTAGACCCGATCCCAACTAGGCTGCTTAAAGAAGTTGTTCCCTTAATTGGCACTTCTTTACTGGATATGATTAATCTTTCTTTATTATCAGGATATGTACCACAGTCCTTTCAAGTAGCTGTAATTAAACCCCTTCTTAAAAAGTCCACTCTTGACCAAGGGGTTTTAGCCAACTATAGACCGATTTCTAACCTCCCCTTCCTCTCTAATATTCTGGAGAAAGTAGTCGCCAAAGAGTTGTGTGACTTTCTACATAACAATAGTTTATTTGAGGATTTTCAGTCAGGATTTAGAGTTCATCATAGCACAGAGACAGCTCTGGTTAAAGTTAATAATGACCTTCTGACTGCTTCTGACAATGGACTTGTCTCTGTACTTGTATTATTAGATCTTAGTGCTGCATTTGACACCATTGACCATGATATTCTTTTACATAGACTTGAGCATCAAATTGGCATTAAAGGAACTGCCCTAAGCTGGTTTAAGTCATACTTATCAGATCGTTCTCAGTTTGTACATGTTAACGATGAATCCTCCATAAATACTAAAGTTAGTCATGGAGTTCCACAAGGTTCTGTACTTGGACCAATACTATTTACTTTATATATGCTCCCTTTAGGCAACATTATTAGGAATCACTCCATTAACTTTCACTGTTATGCAGATGATACGCAGTTATATCTATCAATCAAACCCAATGAAATTAATCAATTATCTAAATTACAAACATGTCTTACGGACATAAAATCCTGGATGACCTGCAATTTTCTGATGTTAAACTCAGAAAAAACGAAATTCTTGTTCTTGGCCCCAAAAACCTTAGAGACTCATTGTCTAAAGATATAGTCACTCTAGATGGCATTAACTTGGCCTCTAGCACCACTGTCAGGAATCTTGGAGTTATCTTTGATCAGGATTTGTCATTTAAGTCCCACATAAAGCAGACCTCTAGGACCGCCTTCTTTCATTTACGTAATATTAGAAAAATTAGACACATACTATCACAGACAGATGCAGAAAAACTAATCCATGCATTTGTTACTTCAAGGCTGGATTACTGCAACTCTTTATTATCAGGTTGCCCCAATAAGTCCATTAAAACACTCCAATTAATTCAGAACGCTGCAGCACGAGTACTGACAGGAACTAGAAAAAGAGATCACATCTCTCCTGTACTAGCTTCTCTGCATTGGCTCCCTTTAAAATGTAGAATTGAATTTAAAATCCTCCTCCTCACCTATAAAGCTCTTCATGGTCAGGCCCCTTCATATCTTAAAGAGCTCATAGTACCCTATTACCCCACTAGAACATTACGTTCTCTGAATGCTGGGCTACTTGTGGTTCCTATAGTCTCTAAAAGTAGAACAGGAGCCAGAGCCTTCAGTTACCAAGCTCCTCTCCTGTGGAACCAGCTTCCAGTTGTGGTTCGGGAGGCAGACACCCTCACCACATTCAAGAGTAGGCTTAAGACATTCCTCTTTGATAAAGCTTATAGTTAGGGCTGGATCAGGTGAGTCCTGAACCATCCCTTAGTTATGCTGCTATAGGCCTAGACTATCGGGGGGATTTCCCATGGTGCACTGAGCTACTCTCTTCCTCTCTCTTTCTGCACTCATTCATGTCCCATTAATGCATGTTACTAACTCCACTTCTTCCCCGGAGTTCTTGTGCTTTCTCGTCTCGCAGGTTCTCATGGATCCTGGTGGAGCCTCCTGCCATGGTCCTGCTTGACTGCCATTGCCAATACTGTTGTTGCTGTGCACCTGTCTGTCTGTCTGTCTGTCTCTCTCTCTCTCTCTCTCTGCCTCTCTCTCTCTCTCTCTCTCACCCCAACTGGTCGAGACAGACGACCACCCACCTAGAGCCGGAGGATCTGTCCTAGGTTTCTGCCTTTTAACAGGCAGTTTTTCCTTGCCCTTGTCGCCAAGTGCTTGCTCATGGTGGTACTGTTGGGTCTCTGTAATTAATGTTAAAGAGTTCGGTCTAGACCTGCTCTATTTGAAAAGTGTCCTGAGATAACTTCTGTTATGAATTGGCGCTATACAAATAAAATAAATTGAATTGAATTGAATTGAATTGAATTAAAGTTGGAGCTGTAAATTCAACAGTATAAGTTAAAAGACACTAAGACTAACAGTCACAGCCAGGATGGGAAAAGGGAGGGTGAAGCGAGTGAGTTGCAATCTGCAACTACAATGCTAGATGCCACTAAATCATCCACACTGAACCTTTAATTCCTGAATACAATTCAGCTGTTGAGTTATCTATACATTATGTACTGACAGTGGCACACAGTACAGCCATTACACAGTCAACAGTGTGGTACAAGTCCTTCAAGAGAATATCACATTTATTTAAAGACACATCAAATGTACCCTTTGGTATCAAGTTGACTTGTCATCGTCTAGTTTCTCACAGTACTCGATGATGTTTCAATGCTGAACATGTTTCTGTTAATGTGATGAAATACGTGTTGAAAGCATAAGGTTTGTCAGTGTGTGGTTGATGAGTTAAAGTGGGTAAAAGAGAAGTGGTGGAAGATGTGCTGAAAAGGAAGGACGTTGGTCATTTTTAGTGTCAGAAAATACATAAATTAAAGTATTACTGTAGTTCTATGTATCATAAAAATAAAAAATGTCAAAAGAGATGACTTAGACATGTAATGTTTCTACTCACCCAAAACAGTGTAACATATCTGTGAGTCTATATATGAAATATAATTATTTTCTGTGTGTGGCTGATAAACCAGAGTGAGAGGACCAGAGAGAAGTGATGGGAAGTAAACTGATGAAGTTGTGAACAGAGCGCTGATGAAAAGCAGTGAAATATAAGTAAACAGGGGAAGTTGTTTTGCTGTTTCTGTACTTGTGGCAGCAGGTCTATAGCAGGGTAGTACAGACGTCCCTCTTCCCAATAACATTTTAAAAGTCCTCGTTCATGAGGCGTTCTCCTCCTTTGTAATTACAAAAGGGTTCCACAAGAACTAAACTACTCGTAATAAACCACCTGCTGTACATTACATGTCCACATTTTATATCTACTGTTCAACTAAATCTTAACAACATTTGTACAGTACCTGACGTTTATATTTTTAAATTTCTTAATATGTCACTATTGTGATTAATGTAATATGTAATAAAAGAAAATCACTCATACAGGCTCTCAGTGAGTCATGTGATAAAAACAATATTTAAAAATAAATAATGATGAAGTCTTTTTCACCCTAATAAGGTTAAGATGCAACAAAAGCTGACTTCCTCACTCACAGGGTGCGAACAGGAAGAGCAAAGACTTCTTGTATTGCTGCAGTATTTTAATCGTGTGATATCTAGTTTGAAACAAGAAGTCTCTTTGCTTTTATGTTACAGCGGCTTAGCAGGGAAGACTGTTACTGGGTCTGTTGCAGTTCTGCTGAAATTCACAGATTGTCTGATTTTAAAACTAATTGTTTCTCCGGTTTATCTGCAGGCTCGTTTGGTAAGGTCAAATGTTACTGCTTTTCATGTTTGAACTTTTTAACCCAGAGAGTTTTTATTTTGTTGCTTTTCATGAACTCCACTGAAAAAGACATGATATATTTTATTTGTTGGGTTTTGTTTTAGCAGAAATAATCCTCAAAGAAATGAGAAGTTTCTGCAGCAACATTTTATTTGAACTATAATATCATAAACTCAGACTGGATCATTCTGATTTTATATTGAAACTGTTTTCAGAGCAACTCTGCAGATATTATTCATCACTACTTATAACACAGTAACATCTGGTTGGACATGGCAAGTTCCTGGTTTGAATGTGTGAATCTGAGGTTGCTTTAAAACAACATGAAGGATTTGTTTAAAAGATGCTTTGATTCAAATATTGAAGAGTAACTTTTTTTCAGATCCAGGTGATGAGTGTGATTGCAGTCCTGTCTGTGAATATGGTGACAGCCATCATGTTACTGAGTGTCTTCTTTCTTTCAGGTGAGCTGTTTGTTCAGTCACTTTTATTTGGAGACGTTAATCATTTACAGTTTGGACTTCATTTACAAACAAAGCAGAAAGACCAGTGCAGATAGAGTTACTTTTTCCAACTGTTCATGTCCTGACTGCAATGAAATGTTTTATATAGAAATTGTTAACAGGACAGGGAAAAGAACTTTCTCTTCATGCAGATTTTTTCCACATTTTGTTCATCATGAGTCTGATTTTACAGGTGCTTTGGCTGATTGTCCTAATCCAGTCGGCCTCTTCATCACTACACCAAAGAAGATGGAAGCACTGAGTGGATCTTGTTTGCAAATCCCATGTAACTTTAGTGCTAAATCAGAACAAGATTTTAAAAGCAGCAGAGAAACCTTTGGAGTGTGGATTAAAACTGACTACAGATTTGGCCTCAATCCAAACAATGTGATTTTCAACAGTAGTAACAAAGTTAACACGTATCCAATGAATATTCCTGGAAACCTGAGTCAGAAAAACTGCACCACTCTGTTTTCCAGTTTAATCACAAATTATACAGACACATACTACTTCAGAATTGAGACTAAACGATTCAGAGCAAAAGCTGAATGTGATCCTCTTCAAATAACAGTTAAAGGTAAGAGAGCTTTGTTTCTTTCAGTCAGTCTATCATGTTATTGTTTAGAATAAAAAGTGAAATCAGTCACAGTTTTGGTCTAAACAGCACACTTTATCAATTTGGAGGTTTTTCACTTTACCATGAATTTAAATTCTGATTAAACACTGAGTCTATTGTTACAGTTTGACATTATAAATGGTAAAATTCTGGGACAGTGAAAAGTAGAAAAAAACTTTTGTTAATAATTTATGTAGGTGTTATGTCATTTTTTAAGGAAGCGAATTGCATTTACTTGAAAAAAAACAACTCAGGTTTTCCTGAGTAATTCATTTTTTGATTTGTTTTTTGGATGTTTTTTTCTGAATTATCGAGATACTTCGAACTCCCGTGAGAACCTCCAACCTACAATTGACTCCCATGGACCTATGGTGACTCCTGCCCGCACATACATGCCCCATCTTCAACAAGAGTCGAAAAACTAATGATAATACCATCTATATGACTTAAAGACAGGACCATCTGTGTCTTAAACCCAGATCAAAGTAAAACTTGATTGAACTAAACAAGCCGGTAATGTTTGTTTCCGTTAAATCAAGCTCTCAATAAAGAAATTAATGCGTCGATTGTTTCAAATGCTCTCTAAACTCAGAAAGAAAATTTGTCCGAAAAAAAAAAATAAAAAGATTTAAAATCCGAAAACCAACCATAAAAATACATTTTCAAGTGAATGCAATACACTTCTGAAATTTGTAATCTACTTTCAGTGTAAATATGTTTGATTTAAACCACAGATTCTCCTCCGAGACCCAGAATTGAGATCTCAGGTGATCTGAAGGAGAAGCAGTCTGTCACTATAACCTGCTCAGCTTTCACTCCCTGTCCACACTCCCCTCCTAAACTCACCTGGAATCTCCAACAAGACTCTCACAACCAAATAGAGGAAAACACAGATGGAACCTTCACAACTAAAATCCAGGAGAGCATCACTCTGTCAGACCAACATGATGGATACAACATCACCTGTTCTGTCAGATATCCTGTGAATGAAGGAAAAGATAACAAGACAGCAGAGGAGAGAAAGACTCTCAGTGTTTCATGTAAGACAACCAGAGTTTGTTATTGGATCCTGTCAGCACATGATGATTCATGGGATATCAGCTGATTCTTAATGAATAAAGTTAATCTCACATTTTCCTCAGATGCTCCTAAAAACACCTCAGTGTCCGTCAGTCCATCAGGTTTGGTGTCAGCAGGTAGCTGGGTGAACCTGACCTGCTCCAGCAGAGCCAAGCCTCCCGTCAGCCGCTTCACCTGGTTCAAGAACAGCAAAGATGGACCCATGATTGTATCTGAAGGACCGTTTTACAGCTTCAATGTGACAGATGGAGGAGTTTATTACTGTGTGGTCACAAATGATCTCGGTAATCAGGGGTCATCATGGATTTATATGAACAGTGCAGGTAAATGTAGAACCGAATCTCATTATTTTACTTTCCTGTTTTCATACAACACAAACCAAACAAACACAAAACATTTATTGCATTTGTACGAAAGTATGCTGTACAAATACATTTTATGAATCAGTCTACATACTTGAGGTTAACAGAAGGAATTCATGTTCAGGATGTTTTAGAGCTGTAATGTTTTCCATTAAGGAGAAGTTGACCATGCTGTCTTGTTACAGTTAATCCAGAGTTTGGGGTTTTTGTCTACGTGAAGATCCTGGGAATCGTAATGCTCTGCAGTACAATCATCATCTTTGAGTGGTGAGAATAACTTTTCTATAATATGATCATTTGCAGATAAAGACTTATTGGTCTCTTTGAAATGTTTGAAGTTCATGTTTAACTTTTATTCATGTTTATTCATTCATCTCCTTTTCTTTCAGGTGGCTTAGATCAAGATGCTGCAACAAACCAGTGAAGGTAAGCTACTAGATGAGGACAGGTACATTATTCTTTCAACAAGAAATTATCTTTGAAGAAAACAGAGAAAAAGCTCCAGTTATAAAAGAGCAAAGGTTTCTTTGTAGGCGTCTTTGCAGATTAATGTTCAACAGTCATACAGAAGAAATCCTTCAGAGACAATGATGTTTAGATATCCATGTCTCCATAAACAGCAGTGATTGTAGACCAGAATGCAATGGGCCAAATTTCATTAAGGAGAGTTCATCTCACTTTATATTAGGCTTCGATTTACCAAAACAAGCTCAAGGAGCTGCTGGCATTTCTCTTCCAGCTGCATTAAACTCACTGCTCACCATTAATGTAATATATTTCTTACTCCTCTAATTCTTAAATATTCAACAGTATTACGTCTGCTTGGTTAAATGTAACTATAAATCATATTAATGATCATATGTTCTGTATGTAAAATCTATCTGCAAAGTAACTAGTAACTATAGCCAGGGCCGTAGCTACCACAGAGGATACAGAGGTCATGTCCTCAGTATTTCTGGGTCAAAATGTGGTGGTTGGAGTCCCCTGAAGTGCAGTTTACCTTTGAGAACTGACACTTACACATTATGACTTCAAAGGTCTTTTTGAGGGTTCAGAGTTTTCAGGACAAGAACAAAAACAGTCCTTTTTACTCCACTGAATCTATATGACAGCTATAGTCAATTGTTATATTTCAGATAAAATATGTTAGCTGTTGTATTTATTTCTGTCTCTAAGTCTGACTGTAATTGTAAACATTTAAATAAGTATTAATAATTATTAACTTTCAGGTTTGATTTTTAATAGTTGGAAGATTGTTAATGTAGATCAAACAGTGCTGTTTGTAACACAAGAAGTTTCTCTGTGCTGCAGGAATGACTTTAATAAAATATGACCTTCTGGCACTGAGTCTCTGAGTGAGTGCTTGCTCATGGTGGAAACTGTTGGGTCTCTGTAAATAATGCTATAAGGAGTTCGGTCTAGACCTGCTCTATTTGAAAGAGTGTCCTGAGAATGTCTTTTTCTACTTTAAGTCATGAGTGGTCCATCTATCACAGTGAAAGTCTCTAAAACTCTCTGGTTCTTTACGATGCTAAATGCTCCACTGTGATCACCAGCTGTTGTCATGTTGGATAAAGATGTGGACCCAAATACAAGACACAGATTCAGATTCATGGTGACGTTTAGTATGTTTTATTCCAAAAGGTGAAGATGATGAAGATGGTGATGATGAGGGGAGGGTTGAGGAAATGGCTTTCAAATGGTGGCTGGCAGGCAGGTAGATGTAAACTTCCCTGTTGTAGACTGCCGATCAGGCACTGAGTAGCTAGAGAACCGGAGTAGATATACTGTTGTGTTGACTGGAGGTAGGTGCGTAGACTGAGAGAGTTGATGGTTTCATTGCATATATACTGTGTGGAGCAGAGCTGGAAGGCAGCTGTTGTGGGCGTGGGTTTCCCCACGCCCACAACACACAGATAGGAGACACAGGGGAGGGGGAAACACAAGAAAAACACAAGGAAAAGGCAAGGGTACAGCCATGGCCATGACAGCTGTCTCGACCTGTATCTGCCTACAGTTTGGTGCTGAGCAGGTAGTGAACAGTGAATCTTAGAGCTTTTTACTTTGACTTTTACTTCTGCATCTGAAAATGAGGCTGATGAAAGCTGTGAGAGTGAACCAAAACAGTAAAGTTAGGGCTGTAAAATCAATAGTATGAGTTACATGGAACTAATAAGACTAACAGTCACAGCCAGGATGGGAAAAGGGAGGGTGAAGCGAGTGAGTTGCAATCTGCAACTACACTGCTAGATGCCACAAAATCTTCCACACTGGACCTTTAATTCCTGAATACAGTTCAGCTGTTATCTATTAAATCAAGTTCTGACAGAGGCACACAGTTCAAACATTACAAACACAGTCAACAGTGTGGTACAAGTCCTTCAAGAGAATATCACATTTATTTAAAGACACATCAAATGTACCCTGTGGTATCAAGTTGACTTGTCATCATCTCACAGTACTCCATAGTGTTTCAGTGCTGAAGATATTTCTTTAAATGAAATAAGTTTTAAAAGCATAAGGTTTGTCAGTGTGTGGTTGATGAGTTAAAGTGGGTAAAAGAGAAGTGGTGTAAGATGCCATGTACAAAGCGCTGAGAACATGGAGGGAGCTTTAAGTTTACAGAGGAATTCAATTCAATTCAATTTTATTTGTATAGCGCCAATTCATAACAGAAGTTATCTCAGGACACTTTTCAAATAGAGCAGGTCTAGACCGAACTCTTTAAAACATTAATTACAGAGACCCAACAGTACCACCATGAGCAAGCACTTGGCGACAAGGGCAAGGAAAAGCTGCCTGTTAAAAGGCAGAAACCTAGGACAGATCCTCCGGCTCTAGGTGTGTGGTCATCTGTCTCGACCAGTTGGGGTGTGTGAGAGAGAGAGAGAGAGAGAGAGAGAGAGAGAGAGAGAGAGAGAGAGGCAGAGAGAGAGAGAGAGCGAAAGACAGACAGACAGGTGCACAGCAACAACAGTATTGGCAATGGCAATCTAGCAGGACCATGGCAGGAGGCTCCACCAGGATCGACAAGAACCTGCGAGATGAGGAAGCACAAGAACTCCGGGGAAGAAGTGAAGTTAGTAACATGCATTAATGGGACATGAATGAGTGCAGAAAGAGAGAGGAAGGGAGGAGCTCAGTGCACCATGGGAAATCCCCCGATAGTCTAGGCCTATAGCAGCATAACTAAGGGATGGTTCAGGACTCACCTGATCCAGCCCTAACTATAAGCTTTATCAAAGAGGAATGTCTTTAGCCTACTCTTGAATGTGGTGAGGGTGTCTGCCTCCTGAACCACAACTGGAAGCTGATTCCACAGGAGAGGAGCTTGGTAACTGAAGGCTCTGGCTCCTGTTCTACTTTTAGAGACTATAGGAACCACAAGTAGCCCAGCATTCAGAGAACGTAGTGTTCTAGAGGGGTAATAGGGTACTATGAGCTTTTTAAGATATGAAGGGGCCTGACCATGAAGCGCTTTATAGGTGAGGAGGAGGATTTTGAATTCTATTCTACATTTTACAGGGAGCCAATGCAGAGAAGCTAGTACAGGAGAAATGTGATCTCTTTTTCTAGTTCCTGTCAGTACTCGTGCTGCAGCGTTCTGAATTAATTGGAGCCTTTTAATGGACTTATTGGGGCAACCTGATAATAAAGAGTTGCAGTAATCCAGCCTTGAAGTAACAAATGCATGGATTAGTTTTTCTGCATCTGTCTGTGATAGTATGTGTCTAATTTTTATAATATTACGTAAATGAAAGAAGGCAGTCCTAGAGGTCTGCTTTATGTGGGAGTTAAATGACAAATCCTGATCAAAGATAACTCCAAGATTCCTGACAGTGGTGCTAGAGGCCAAGTTAATGCTATCTAGAGTAACTATATCTTTAGACAGTGAGTCTCTAAGGTTTTTGGGGCCAAGAACAAGAATTTCATTTTTTTTCTGAGTTTAACATCAGAAAATTGCAGGTCATCCAGGATTTTATGTCCTTAAGACATTTTTGTAATTTAGATAATTGATTAATTTCATCGGGCTTGATTGATAGATATAACTGCGTATCATCTGCATAACAGTGAAAGTTAATGGAGTGATTCCTAATAATGTTGCCTAAAGGGAGCATATATAGAGTAAATAGTATTGGTCCGAGTACAGAACCTTGTGGAACTCCATGACTAACTGTAGTATTTATTGAAGATTCATCGTTAACATGTACAAACTGCGAGCGATCTGATAAATATGAGTTAAACCAGCTTAGTGCGGTTCCTTTAATGCCAATTTGACGCTCAAGTCTCTGTAAAAGAATATTATGGTCAATGGTGTCAAATGCAGCACTAAGATCTAATAATACAAGTACAGAGACAAGTCCATTGTCAGAAGCAATCAGAAGGTCATTATTAACTTTAACCAGAGCTTTCTCTGTGCTATGATGAACTCTAAATCCTGACTGAAAATCCTCAAATAAACTATTGTTATGTAGAAAGTCACACAACTCTTTGGCAACTACTTTCTCCAGAATCTTAGAGAGGAAGGGGAGGTTAGAAATCGGTCTATAGTTGGCTAAAACCCCTGGGTCAAGAGTGGGCTTTTTAAGAAGGGGTTTAATTACAGCTACTTTAAAGGACTGTGGTACATATCCTGATAATAAAGAAAGATTAATCATATCCAGTAAAGAAGTGCCAATTAAGGGAACAATTTCTTTAAGGTAATTTCAGTGTCAGTAAATGCATGGATTAAAGTATTACTGTAGTTCTATGTATGCTAAAATGTAAAAATGTTTCTAGTCACCTATATATATGCAATCCAAATAGAAAATGACAACAGATTCCTCACCTGACCCAGCAGGACCCTCACCAGCTCTGTCTGTTGCTTTAAACACTTAACAAGAAGAAACTCAGCAGGATCATCTAAATCTTTGTCGCCTTTGACTGTCCTCCTTACAATCCATTGTTGTTGTTTTACAACTGAAACAATTGCAAAATAAAATAAAATATACTGCAGAAAAAATAAGACATGGGTTTGTAGTCAATACATCACAACACTAGTGTGTTATGTAAAGTTAATAATTATAGAAAACACTTAAAATAAATAAAAATAAATAAATGATTTCCACCCTAAGCTACAACAAAAGCTTCTCGCTCACAGGGTGTGAATAGAAAGGATGAAGACTTGTTGTAGTTGGATATGTGTAATGTTATTAAAAAGTGTTTTAATTGAGTATTTAAAGTGAACAAAGTATATTAGTCACTCACTTCTCTCATCAGCTTGTTATTACAGAGCAGCAGTGATGAAGTCAGCAAAAACTCTGTGGTACCAACATGTATGAAATAATCTTTGGGTGTTAACAATTAAGAATTTGTTGAGTCATTATGCACAAGGTTCATCAGATATCCTCTTTAGCTCACAAACATCTCATAATTCAATCTTTAATCACCATTAAGATAACAGCCTTTTTTCTTTCTTTTGAACAGTGTTTTTTTTTTTGGTGCTTCTGTGCTTCTGCAGGATGATCATAGTGACTGTAGCCACACAGCTCTCTGCAACAAAATGTCTTCATCATGTGCTCCAGAATGGTGTTTATTGTCTGTGTCTTGAATAAGGATTCTTTGATGTGGAACACTTTCCTTGTGAAGTTCACAACTCACACCTTCTTCAAATATTATCTCTGATTGAAACTTGCAAAATCAGCTTTACCAGCTCTGTCTGTTAGTATCCATCCATTTCCTGCTGTTTATCCAGGACTGAGTCGCAGTGGCAGCAGGTCTACAGCAGGGTAGACATCGCTCTTCACATGTTCCAGCTCTTCCTCCTGGGGAATCCTTCAGTACATTTTATGTATACTGTTCACCTAATCTTAATTACATGTACAGTATCTAGTACAGTAATATGTACTAAAACAAGACTTCCTTTTATTTAAGAATACATAATGAACAAGTCTTTTTTCGCCCTAATAAGGTTAAGATGCAACAAAAGCTGACTTCCACACTCACAGTGTGCAAACAGGAAGGGTGAAGCCTTCTTTTATTGCTGCAGTATTTTAATCGTGTGATATCTAGTTTGAAACAAGAAGTCTGTTTGCTTTTATGTTACAGCAGCTTAGCAGGGAAGACTGTTACTGGGTCTGTTGCAGTTCTGCTGAAATTCACAGATTGTCTGATTTTAAAACTAATTGTTTCTCCGGTTTATCTGCAGGCTCGTTTGGTAAGGTCAAATGTTACTGCTTTTTATGTTTGAACTTTTTAACCCAGAGAGTTTTTATTTTGCTGCTTTTCATGAACTCCACTGAAAAAGACATGATATATTTTATTTGTTGGGTTTTGTTTTAGCAGAAATGATCCTCAAAGAAATGAGAAGTTTCTTCAGCAACATTTTATTTGAACTATAATATCATAAACTCAGACTGGATCATTCTGATTTTATATTGAAACTGTTTTCAGAGCAACTCTGCAGATATTATTCATCACTACTTATAACACAGTAACATCTGGTTGGACATGGCAAGTTCCTGGTTTGAATGTGTGAATCTGAGGTTGCTTTAAAACAACATGAAGGATTTGTTTAAAAGATGCTTTGATTCAAATATTGAAGAGTAACTTTTTTCAGATCCAGGTGATGAGTGTGATTGCAGTCCTGTCTGTGAATATGGTGACAGCCAACATGTTACTGAGTGTCTTCTTTCTTTCAGGTGAGCTGTTTGTTCAGTCACTTTTATTTGGAGACGTTAATCATTTACAGTTTGGACTTCATTTAGAAACAAAGCAGAAAGACCAGTGCAGATAGAGTTACTTTTTCCAACTGTTCATGTCTGCAAAGTGAAATGTTTTATATAGAAATTGTTAACAGGACAGGGAAAAGACCAGCATGCAACACACTGCTGATTTGTTTATCATGAACTTTCTCTTCATGCTGATTTTTCCCCACATTTTGTTCATCATGAGTCTGATTTTACAGGTGCTTTGGCTGATTGTCCTCAGAAGTCAAACCTCTTCATTACTGCACCAAAGAAAATGGAAGCACTGAGTGGATCTTGTTTGCAAATCCCATGTAACTTTAGAGCTGACCCAGAACAAGATTTTGACAGCAGCAGAGAAACCTTTGGAGTGTGGATTAAAACTGACTCAAATATTTGGGATTTTCCAAAAAATGTGATTGTCAACAGTAGTAAGACAGTTAACACGTATCCAATGAATATTACTGGAAACCTGAGTCAGAAAAACTGCACCACTCTGTTTTCCAGTTTAATCACAAGTTATACAGACACATACTACTTCAGAATCATGAACTGGCCTTTCAGAGCAACAGCTGTTTGTGATCCTCTTCAAATAACAGTTAAAGGTAAGAGAGCTTTGTTTCTTTCAGTCAGTCTATAATGTTATTGTTTAGAATAAAAAGTGAAATCAGTTACAGGTTTGGTCTAAACAGCACACTTTATCAATTTGGATGTTTTTCACTTTACCATGAATTTAAATTCTGATTAAACACTGAGTCTATTGTTACAGTTTGACATTTAAATGGTCAAATTCTGGGACAGTGTAAAGCAGAACAAACTGTTATTTATACTCTTTATGCGGTTTCATTACAGAAGTATCAGCTTCATCTGTTTGATTTAAACCTTTAGATTCTCCTCCGAGCCTCAGAATTGAGATCTCAGGTGATCTGAAGGAGAAGCAGTCTGTCACTATAACCTGCTCAGCTTTCACTCCCTGTCCACACTCCCCTCCTAAACTCACCTGGAATCTCCAACAAGACTCTCACAACAAAATAGAGGAAAACACAGATGGAACCTTCACAACTAAAATCCAGGAGAGCATCACTCTGTCAGACCAACATGATGGATACAACATCACCTGTTCTGTCAGATATCCTGTGAATGAAGGAAAAGATAACAAGACAGCAGAGGAGAGAAAGACTCTCAGTGTTTCATGTAAGACAACCAGAGTTTGTTATTGGATCCTGTCAGCACATGATGATTCATGGGATATCAGCTGATTTTTAATGAATAAAGTTAATCTCACATTTTCCTCAGATGCTCCTAAAGACACCTCAGTGTCCATCAGTCCATCAGGTTTGGTGTCAGCAGGTAGCTGGGTGAACCTGACCTGCTCCAGCAGAGCCAAGCCTCCCGTCAGCCGTTTCACCTGGTTCAAGAACAGCAAAGATGGACCCATGATTGTATCTGAAGGACCGTTTTACAGCTTCAATGTGACAGATGGGGGAGTTTATTACTGTGTGGCAATGAATGATCTTGGTAATCAGTCATCATCATGGATTCATTTAAACAGTGCAGGTAAATGTCAAACTGAATCTTATTATATAATTACTTTCTTCTTTTCTGTTTATCTTCTTTCTTGCAGCTGTATTGTAGTTTCTTTGTTTTAGTACCCTGCACTTTTTCTGCATATGTATGAATTCATTCTATACAATTAAACTTGACCTAGATGTTAAAAGAGAGACTTCAACGATGGCTACCCATCTACAATGGGGTTCAGCTGTTGCAGGGATCATTGTTGTCATTCTCATCTGCACTGCTCTCTGTGTTTGGTAAGTATCACAAATTAAAGGATGTGACACAATAAACTCTCTGTCCCTGAAGTTTTGGTGAGAGCATGGATGAGGATGTGATCTGTCAGTTTTGTTTATTTCTGTACCAACACATTCCTCACATTTGCATTTTTGTACTGATTAAAGTGGTTGACTCTGAAACTCTCAAAAGAGAACAAAAGTTGTTGTTCAGACCACCTGTTCTGTGATTTACTGTCCTCCTTTAGTTTCATCACCTATCTCTACCAATTGTATTTTAATCTGTATGTTTTTATGCATCCAATTATGCTGTTTTCCATCAGTCCTTACTTCTATCATCTATTTAACCTGAAACACAGTATAATTATTCTGACAGCTCTCTAATGTCTTCCAGGTGGTTTAAGTGGAAACATCAAACTCCACAACAGACTCAGGTGGGAAAATACTAACCTTCATTGTACTGAACTGTTTGTTTGAAGTATTTTACAGTGACTGTGTCTGATATATATGAAAGCATCAGTCTCAACAATCAGTAGACAGTGTTTGAGAGGTACGGAGCCCGTAAAGTCCCCAAAAGAAAATATTTTTTATCTTGTGCACACAAGATAATTTACTATAAATTCATATTCATCTCTAATGGCTTCAGATGCACACAGCTGTCATATAATGGAGAGAACTCAGCTTATCAAATTTTATTTTCACCTCGTAATGTCATACCATGAAATTCTTGCTTCTCTTGCTAAAATCTGAATGTCGGACAGATTCTGTTAGAGGGGACATGGACAATTTGGTAAAATAGGCGATCTAACCAAACAATGTGTTTGCTTACACTATGGGAGTGGCTTTATGTGGAGGAGGGGTAGCTACAAGACCATAGTGGCTCTAGTGGGCACAACAAATTTCACATGCACTAACTGACATGTAAGGCAGTAACAGTCAGGGGATGGGCTCTTTAAAGTTTACACAGGCTGGAGCACGTGTTAGTAACAGCTAGGGAGGTAACTTTAATTTTTCACAGGGCTGATAGCACGCTGTGGCTCTGTCTCAAGTTCTGCTTCTTACTTAGGCTGAAATACATAGCTGAATCAGTCAGGTACAAGATATATGTGTCACAGGGCCGGTGGCACGCTGTGTCTTAATTAAAAGGAGGAGCACTTTAATTTACAGCAAATGAAGACAGTTTGAATAGCTTGCATTGAATACGTCTGATTCGAATGCTGAACCAAATTCTTCTTTTTCATACAGTGTAGGTTTAGCTTGGAATAGCTAGCAACAATAGTAAACTCAAAATGAATATTCTCAAATTCCTTAATTTGATGAATAAATCAATTTCACCACAAAGTACTTGTTTATAAGTACAGCTTGACGTCTACTGCGGTGTCAGACTAGTGGAACTAGCCAAAATTTGCATATTGGCCAAAAGTACATAAAACATTAATATTGTGGGCGTGCCAGGAGTTTTATCACCTGGACATCGTGCATCATCAAGTTGTCTCAGGTTACAGTCCCAGAAAGTGACTTATGAGGTGACAGGAAGTGACCCGTCACAATAAATATCCAGTTAAACCACACCAAATGAACAAGTTCATGTTTAAATGTCCCCTTTGACCCAACAGGAACCATAGTCATTTGGATCTGGTTGTCATCTACTTTGTTTGAATAATAGAGACACAAGAATTGGAATTGGAAGAAAAAGACCTGAACATAGTGAGGATTGTTCCAAAGAATCCTATCCATTTTATACTCAACAATATTTAAGGTTGCACTGTAATCCAGCAGCATCAGAACAAATGTTTAACCTGAGTCAGGATTCAGATTGATGTTTTCAGATGTTTGTGTGCCAAAGTGAAATTTAGATTGATCTGTGATGATTTAATCTGGAAGGATCCAGCTCACAACATTTCTTATTTGATTCATTTTTCAGAGTCAAAGAGGTGAAGAGCTTTCTCTTCAAATGCCAGTTAGCACAAGTGAAGAAAACATCCATTATGGAGAGATTGACTTTTCGAAGAGGAGACCTGAACCGTCCTCTGACTCAGTGCAGGACAGTGGACAGCAACATGATTCGCTGTATGCACAGGTCAAAGTGTCTGAGCCATCAAACAGATTAACTCACACTGCTGATGGTCCAGAGGATCTCTACGCTCAAGTGAAGAAATAATAAATGAGTACTGTTTTGTGATCACACTTGGGTTGGATTCATAATCTACCTTTATTTTGTAATTTTACCACATGTTTTATGTCAGTTAATGAAGAAAAAGTCCGTGGAGACTAGACAGGAAAATGTTTACTGCTCACAGTTAAATAAATTAAACTCCACACACTGCAGCTCAGATGGTTTTCTCAGTAATCACATTATCATAGTTCAGATTTATGTACTGACCTCATACAGCTGTTACTGTGTGGTTAGTAATCTGCTTGTGAGATATGTGCAAGTAAAAGTCTCAAAGCTCTGAATAGGAACTAATCTTAATGACATGAGAATGAATTAGTGAACTTGACACCAGAAGCAGTTCTGTACACACATTACCAGTGTAGTCCAAGATCATATCTACTTTTGAAATGTTTATGTTTATTTTACATTTTATTTTTAACAAGGCATATTGATCTCATTTGCTTTATCTATTGTGTATCCCATTTTCTTACATATTTACTATATTACTTCTAAAATGAACACAAGACAGAGTTTCTGCATTTGAAGATATTTATTCATTGCACTGTAATAAAAACGTTGGCATACAACTTCTAAAAATACCTAATAATCTCACTCGCATTTATTGGTCCAACATTTCACATATTGTGTGTAAACATCACCTGAAATCATACAATTTAATCACAAACATAACGAAAGTCACAAGATGAACTAGCATAGTAATTCTCGGGTCCACTGGAAATCTGCTACAATGTTTTGAGTATTTATTGTACATCTGATTAATATATTTTCTAATATCAAGTTCAATTTAACATAAAGGGCATTTTTTCAGACTCAGTCAATAATGTATTAAAAGAGCTGCTAAAATTCACTTAAAACCTTTCTATGAGTAAAAACGTTCAAACTTGATCTACTCTTTGTCAGAATTTTGCCTAAAAAAGATCTTTGGGCTTCAGCTTGTAAACACAGCATCCTAGACACTGTACTGTTAAATATCTCAGAGGCACTACTGGGCCATGTTGATTGGGCTTTAGTACCATGCTTTCTCTTGTGAGTGAATGGAGGTAGTGACAGTATCTACATGACACGTTTGACAACTTCACAGAAATCTAACCTTCATGTTGAGAGTCAAACCTCCCTCCTACCACCAACCCAGCACCAGTCCCTCAGTGTTGCAGCATTAGTGTGAAGTGGTGTCCAAAAGGTAAATTGCATTGTAGATTATTAGCTTCTCCGTCAATTCCATATCTGACATTTAATTCCTGACAGATTCCCCTTCATAAAAGAGAAAGACAAGAGTCACTGACTGTGTTTTCAAGCACAGAGAACATTAACTACTGGCCTGGCTATTGGTCTTAGGTTTTTATTCAAGCAATTATTGAATAAGCACATACTAAATGTAGCTGCCATAAACCATCTTTGACAGAGCAGCAAGTACTAGTAATGTCTCATACTAGCTACTGCCATGTTGTTTGAAAACCAAATAGGGATGGGGTGTTTCTATGTCACAGTGACAACAACCTGGTTATCCAAGCTAAGTGTTTGTTTACTTTGATAAAACCAAACTGTCTTCTCAGCTAACCTGGTTCAGCACTAAATTCTCTGTGTATGTAAACCCAGCCAGTGACTCTGATTGCACCCTAATGATCTGAATCCTGTGTCATCAGTGACTGCCTCCCTGTTCCTGGAGGAACTTCCTGTCAGTAGGGTTTTAATTGTGCACTCTGTCCTCCAGAGCCTTCAGCTCAGCCTCCACCTGAGCCGGCAGATCAGCTCCAACTTGCTGAGTGAAGTAGGCTCTCAGCTCCTTCGTCTCCTTCTGCCAGAAAGATGTAGGCACATGGAACAGGGCACCCATATCCACCTTGCTGCTCAGACCTTTAGTGTTGATGGCGCCATCTTCTGGCAGCCAGCCGATAATGCTCTTCCTGGCCGCCTCGTCCTCGCTCTCCCGTCCGCAGCGCTTGAAGATCCACTCCAGGACGCGGGCGTTTTCGCCGAAGCCGGGCCAGAGGAAGGCGCCAGTCGCATCCTTTCTGAACCAGTTGACGTGGAAGATCTTGGGGAGAAGAGTGGGGGCCTTTCGGTTCTCCATGCTCAGCCAGTGACCAAGGTAGTCGCCAAAGTTGTAACCAAAGAAGGGTCGCATGGCAAAGGGGTCGTGCATAATCACCTTGCCTGAAGGAAAACATTAAATGTTTTGTAATAAATAAATATAAAGAATTATCTTAATAACAGAACAAGTAACATCCTTATCATCATTATCTTTAAACACCTCATCAGTAGGACATCTGAGTACTATCTGATGTATTACAAATGATGACAATGTCTAAAAACTAGTCAATCAACCCTATAAATCAGTACAAATGTGTTAACAGGAATTAAGGCCAGAGGAAAATCAGGTTTGGTGTGTTGGTACCTTTATGCTCAGCAGCTGCTGTGGCCTCAGACCTCATGGCGGCTCCAACAAAGACTCCATGTTGCCAGTTGAAAGACTCATAGACCAGAGGGACTCCTGACAACATCAACATTTTATCATGTTTCATATGTTAAACAAGACAGGCGACACAAGCACGATCAGAGAGATTGATTCAACACTAAATTAGACTTCCAACAGTGCAGGACAATAATAATCATGATTTTAATATAGCTCAGACTTTTTTTTAACAGCTCAAAAATATATTTTCCCTACTTAGTAAATTATACTGACCCTGAAATTATGAGGAAAAATAAGAACATAAAACATTATATTTTTTTATCTTTTGAAAATAAGATTTCTATCATTTCATCAACAAAGGCCAATCCCATTAAAAAGCGACAATAACCTGCTCTTTTTTCTGCTTACATTATTTTTCCATACAATAAATAAAAAGGTAAGTAGTAGTAATTTCCACTTAGACTTATTTTCACTTCTTTTCCATGATGTTTCAAGACTTCATTTTCTGGTTGCAATGTAAGATAAATGAACTGAGGGTAGTTTAGTTTACTTCCCTCTGTGTCGGTCACACCACAGAAGACTAAATGTTTAAAATGTGAAATGATAAAAATGCGGTGCTCATCAAACAATGTCTGCAACTATTTAAAGAACAACTCTTGGTGTGTATTTAATGAAAATACTGCCAACCTTCTGGTCTCCTGCCACCGAAGATGATGGCGTCGATTGGAACGCCCTCCTCGCTCTCCCATTTGGGGTCAATGATTGGACACTGAGCCGCCGGGGCGCAGAAGCGGGAATTGGGGTGGGCACACGGAGTGGAGCTTCCTGTTTACAGAGAGGAAACAACAGTGTTTGTAAACATCTACACATCTGAATATCAATGTAAAAAAAATGACATTGCTTTGACATACCACTAGATGGCACTGTATACACAATGGCTGTTCAGTTTACTGCTCATATGTCAGTTTGATATATTCAGAAAGCAGAAAGCCTATGATGAAGGGAGAGCAATATACACTGCTCTATATAAGTTTTATACTTTTTACTTTTGATGCTGCAGTCAGTTTTGGTCTGGGGCCTGTTAATAATCAGAACTAGTGAGGAAATGTCTTTATTGGCAAAGAAAGAAGCGTTATTCAAGCTGAAATTATATCAGCTAAACTGCTGAATATTCATCGGAAACTAAGTGGTAAAAACAAATCATCTCCTCTTTACATTGATGTCTTTATAAATCCTGGGCAATCTGGGCAGATGTTACCTTGCTTCCAGGTTTTGCCGTGCCAGTCTGTGAGTGTGACCCCGGCTGCGGGGGGATCAAGGCCCTCCCACCACACTCCTCCATCGCTGGTCTCACCAACGTTGGTGAACACTGTGTTTTTGGCGATGGTGGCCATGGCATACGGGTTGGTCTTGTCTGAGGTGCCAGGAGCCACACCGAAGAAACCATTCTCTGGGTTGATGGCTCTCAGTTTACCTGCGGAGACAGACAGGATGTTGGATTTCATACTACACTACCTATGGAGTAACAAAGTGCTTTTATGTGTGTGAGCCATCCTCCTCCCTCTTACCTTGACTGTCGAACTTCATCCAGGCAATGTCGTCACCCACACACTCAACCTTCCAGCCTGGCAGGGATGGTTTCATCATGGCCAAGTTGGTTTTACCACAGGCACTGGGGAAGGCCGCGGCTACGTACCGCTTCACTCCCTGAGGGTTGGTGATACCCAGGATCTGAGGAGAGGAAAGAGTGGTGAATAAACAGGACAAATCTTTTATATTTTTTTTTTACCGCTTTTCACTCAAAAGCACTTAAAGAGCATCATGGCCAACTTCTGAAAGAACAACCACTGTTATACTTTATATATATATATATATATATATATATATTATATATATATATATAATATATATATATATATATATAAATATATATATATATATATAATATATATATATATATATATATATATATATATATATATATATATATATATATATATATATATATATATATATATATATATATATATATATATATACACACACTCTATATTATTTACATTTAAAGGGAACCTATATAGTTTTTCCATAGTTTGTCATATATCAGTTTACTTTGCCAGATGTTAATAATCAAGACCAACAAGGCCAAAAGGTCAAATAATGAGATAAATGTATGTGAAAGTAATTTCCTGATTTTCCTTTGATGTGCTGTGGCTTCTTTGCCTCAACTCTTACGTATTTACAGAGTTTACTGATAGAAATAATAGCTTTACTCGTAGATATTAGCTAACTGCTTCTAACAGACTGGAAGTTACTCTAGGGCAGTCTCAGACTAAGAATATATAGCGCTGGAAATGAGCGTAACGGATCCCCTTTTGTGTTTTTGTCAGGGACAACAAATTAGCATCTTCCAAATGTCTACAAAGGAGAATTATGTGTCAAGCATCTGGAGCAGGCTGCAGGCAGCAATGTTCACTCACCAACATGTGTTCTGCCAGCCAGCCTTCATCCTTGGCGATGCGGGAGGCGATGCGAAGGGCAAAGCACTTCTTCCCCAGGAGAGAGTTTCCTCCATAGCCACTGCCGAAGGACATGATCTGCCTGAGGTCTGGCAGGTGAGATATCAACACCTTTTCTGGGTTACAGGGCCACGAGTTGACCAGAGGGGCTGCAGAGCAGACAGACAGATACCAGACACAACAGAGATGAGACTGGTGAGTGTTGGTGAAATGGAATAGGGACAAAATAATGGAGGAGATGAGGAAAGAGCCAGAGATGACAGGAAGGGAGATCAATGGAGAGATGGGGGGAGGGATAGAAAGGAGAGATGTGGCAAGACCAGAGAGGGAGAATTTGTATCTTATAGTTAGTAATATAAAGCACTAAGACAACTTGTTCTGGGCTCTTGGAATTTGTACCTTTAAGTGGTAAAGGTCGTCCCAGAGAGTGCTGACAGCGGACAAAGTCTTCTCCTTCAGCAAGTTTCTGCAGAACAGGAGTGCCCATTCGTGTCATGATCCCCATACTGGCCACTACGTATGGCGAGTCCGTCACCTTGAAGGAGAACAACATCTTTATCACCCCTGATCTACAAACTAAAACCTTCAGCGAGCAATAGCCATAAAGTGCTACAACAATTTATTAGAATATACTGTACTAATAAATCACAGCAATTTAAAGCAACAAAATATAGTTACTTTATTGTTTTATTGCATAATTTTCTGAGTGTTAAGTGAGGAGAAGAGAACAGTCAGTACCTGGACGCCATATTTACTCAGAGTCGAGCCTACAGGACCCATACTGAAGGGAATCACATACATGGTCCGACCTACAGAGGACACAGACACATAAACAACACATTAATGCAGTTTACTTTTTACTACAGGCAACTACTGACAAATGTCTGGAGATATCATGGCCTTTTCTTAAAGGTACCTTGTTGAGTTTTTGACATATAACCACACTAAGGAGCAATGTTTTTACAAACGGGTCCTCATTTCATTTGTAACATGCACAAAGATACAGGCCACGTGACAAAAGTTTCTGTCATGTTTTATGTTGTTGCGCTGATTAACAGTTGAGAGTGGTAACATGCAAATAAATACTGCCTTTGTCAGACCTGACAGATCCATACTATGTGTTTTGGTGGGAAACACTGAATATAAACTTTTACAACTCCACAGGGCACCTTTAACAGAGTTTTGTGAATGTGAAGAGTTGTGAATAAAGCTGTCCATGTTTTATGATACAAAATATACATCACTATATTGTTACAGCTGGGACTTCTGATGTTCAAAACATCTATGTTCATTTGCAAAAATAGAGACACTTTAGTCAGAACACATTTGGTAAAGGAGTACCTTAACACCCCCTGAAAATCATGTCATGGACACTGTGACATTACTGTTGGGTTACAGGCACAACAAAGCACTCTTCTGACCACACAGGTTCAAAACTTTCAAAAACAGTGGACAGTGCCTATTTAGCCTGCTGTTCAGTTACAATTTTAATATTTTGTTTCCTATATTTTAAAATAGTTGGTTAATGTTCAGATTAAAACATTGCCATTCAACGGTTTCAAAGGGAAGTTGAAAAAACACATCTCCTGGCAACATTTCATTTCCATCCAACAGCGTACCTGACATGCAGCCGGGGAAACGCTCCTCTCTGGCTCTCTGCCAGTCAGACTCGCTCATCCAGCTGCCCAGCTGGCTCTTCACCCCTCCGGCAGGGATGGGGATGGTGTCCCTCTGGTTCTTGGTCACAATCACAGTCTTGCTTTCCACCCGAGCCACGTCCTTTGGGTCTGTACGTGCCAACCAACTGAAAAACAGAGCAGGAATCAGAGCATGGTGCAGGAAAAACTGAGGAACTTAAGAGAGAGAATCACCACATAGAAAAACAATACGCCACTGAATGCATGTATTTCTGAGTGTATGCAAGACTTCAAATTTAAATCCCTTACCAGTTGTCATATTTGGGAAGCCTCTTGACCATCCCTTCCTTCTGCAGACCTGCCAGAATGTTGGCCGTTTCCTCCGGCGTCCCCGTCACCACATGCACACCAGCGGGCTTACACTCGTCCACTGCTCCCTTCACGAAATCAGCCACCGCCGGGGGCAGCGAGGGGATGGAGGCCAGGGAGCGAACTCCAACACTCGCCCCAACACCACCATGTCTGAAAGAGAACGGTCACCATTTACTTGCAACTCAAGAGTAAATGACACTGACTGAATGTACAGTAACCCGTGTCATTTTGTGATATTTCTTTCACAGATACAACCATCCTTATAAGCCAACAGGATTACACAAAGTCAGTGATCTGATATAGAAGTACCGTAGTTGTAACTGGAGAGAGAACTTGATTTTCTTTTTGGAGGGCAGTGAGCAATTTACATTTACAGTATCCTGTGGCTGAGATGGGTGTAACTCTACACAAATAGACCAGACTGCCACCTATACTGCAGGCAACCCTAACCCACAAACAAAGTTGGATTTCCATTGTGTAGAGTGCATTCCTGTGCAAAGGTATTTTCCTGTAAGACCTGCTACTCGAGGTTCTTTTCCAAATATGGATACATAAAAACTATCTGACAGTCCTGCAATCTATAATCTACATAATGTTACAGGGGCCTATAATAAGCGCTGTTCACTTCTTCATCATGGAATTTAAAGACTGACTTCAACAATCTAACATGAGTCAGAAAACAGAAACATCCCAGCTGCAGACTTCTGTCTGATCTTATTGAATCATTTATGGGATGCTGACATTACCAATGACCCGGCTCTAGGGATGAAACGATACACTCAACTCGTGATTCGATACACACAAACAGACAGTTTTTTTTAAACGTAGCCCACTAAGTTTCTAACTGGTTATGAAACAGTCTCCATTTAATACTGATGCCTCTACATGACCTACATAAGCACACAAGACGGGTTATTCTTAATGCCTGCCACTGGGTTTGATTCGGTCAGATTCCCCTTGAAATCAATTAAACGAGATGGGGGAAACATTTCCACTTTTGTCCACAGGGGCCGCCATAATCAACACAAAATGAAAGTTCCTTGTTGCTGCTTTCACAAAATGAGATTGAAGACGAATTATGACTGAAGATGATTCCTTTATTTCTCAGACAAAAATCTACAAAATATATTCCTTTATTAAATGAAACAATCAGTTTAATTTCTGAGGTATAAACTGTGCCAAACAATGTAAATTAGAAATTAAAAATATAACCCTGTCAACTATCTCTTTTCTGAGTTGGGGAATATCTTTGCGCTTTGATAAAGCTACTGACCCGAGTGATGTAGGACGTCAAGCAAGCAAAGTCAAAAGTAGATAGCGCCCTCTGCTGTTTAAAAAGAGTATCAGAATTCACTTTTCATCCCACCAGTTTGAATTTACGCATATTTGTATGGCAATTTAACTGTCTCGCATTATATCTTCACATTCCTACCCAGCGCTGACCAGAATATGATGCAGAGTGTGTCCTTATTGTATCATCAAGTAGAGAAAATTGGTTTAGAGGGTTCAGACAAGTCCAGTCTCTTACTACGGTCAGATTTCTCCAGTTAGGACACTTTTTGTCTGCATTATCTTGGAGACTGTTCTGGTCTTTATTTATTGATGTTTTTTTTTACAAATAATAACTAAAACCTCACAGTGTTACAAATATGTGAAGGGAAATGAGAATAAAGCTACAGGCTTTGCCATTGATGCCAATTCATTTTTTTGGCCAATGGATAATGATGGGAGTTTTTTGAAGTCATGGAAGTGCCCGAGGGAGTGCAAACAAGTTTAAATAAGGCACAAAATTGGTGTCGTGTGCTTTTCATGTGACATTGATAATGCCTTTGTTGCCCCCGGGGTACTTATTAGTGCAACCCATATACTGTCAACGGTGCAACCTGAGAGCCGCAAACAGACTCCTCCACATAAAGAGAGGCATGCGGGGGGCCGGCCTATTGTTTGTTAGTGGCATGATAGTCACAAACACAAGCTACCGAGAGGGCTGCAGCTATGCAAGCTGTTAAAACACAAGCCTGTGTGTGTATGCATCTCCTGTCTGTCCCCAGCAGTGATCGGACAATTGAATAGACGATGTGTGTGTATGTGCTTTGTTTTCTGGACAGTGTGGATGACCGCAGGTGACCTCTTTAGAAAAATTTGAAATTCATAATCCTGTATCCTCAAATGAGAAGCCCAGAAGTGTGTAAATAGACAAATTAGTCTAGATTTCACACATAAATTGACACACATACTCCCTCCAGTCAGAAACCAGTCGCTAATTTGACTGGGAATACAAATCACCCTCCTCTCGTTTGTAGTTTCCAAGACAGTGACACAGTTGTCCCGCTAAGTGAAGGCACGCTGCTCCCCATTGGCTACAATGAGTGCGTCATCATACGTGCGTGGCACACACACACTTACAGTACTCGTGTGCGTAGAGACACGCGTAAATCTGGTGCATACAAAGGGCACGCAAGCATGCAGAGAGGCTCACAGTGCCAAAGAAGATAACATGTAACTTGACGGTGAGAGGGCAAAGAGCTGAGAAATGCCGGCTTCAGAGTCCAAACGGTCCAAACTCCCTCTGAACAGGTGACCTGTACCATGCCAGTGGTTTAACCATTGATGTGGGAGCAATTAATGATGAACAGGCTCCAGTTGGTGGCGTATGCTCTCACTGTTCAGACACCATAATGCAGATGAGAGAAGATCTGAATGGATAGAAATGATGATATGCTCATTTGAGTTGCCCTCAGTTATCACCCTGCGCTCAAAGAAATGAGCTGAATAAGCAGGAGCTTTGGGCACTTTTGTTTGTTTCACCTGTCAGACTACCCCACCTTTCTGTGGAGGTTATTGAGGTGTATGCAGCCTGAACTGAATACCTGCAGACAATACTGAAAAAAGGAGCCACGTCAAGATTTTTCTGGACAAAAACTACTAATTTACAGTTAATATTGTCATAAGAAAATGCCAGAACCGAGCCCTTTGTAATAAAGACAGAACTACAGCGTTATCTGTCTAGTTTTAGATTGAGTTTTTCTTTTAATTACAACAGCTGACAGTCATGCTAGCAGCTATGTGAGGCTGTGGTCAGACACAGTGGTGTTCTGAGCTAAATGCTAGCATGAGCATGTTATCATACTCACAGGTATAATGTTTATATTTTACTTTTGCATGTTAGCATGCTAACATCAGTGAAGTAGCACTAAATAAAAAGTACAGAGGCTGATGGGAACTTCGTTTTGCAGGTTTTTGGTCACAAACCAAACTGGTCTGGAGTCAGACAAAGTGAAAGTTTCTCCTGAAAACCACAAATGTGAACCTTGTGGTTGCGCGAGAGGAAAAGTCAGGGGATGGCCATATCTGCATCCACCAAACACATTTCATTGGCCCATTTCTCTTTTTCTTAAAAAAAAGAAACATTGCGTGTGTCAGAAACTGTCCGTTTTCAGTGGATCTTTAGACTTTCTGAGCAGATAAATGCATGATTAGCTGAAGGGGACCTTAAAGAACAACAGTGTCACTGTATCACAGCTCCCTAGACTGACCTTTAGCCACAGAAGATTACAAATAAGGCACTTTGTCAGTGTTATCTGTGATATTAGATGAACCAGTCTCATTAAATCAGCTCTACAGTACTTTAGTCCCCCCACCCCCACATGGTAAATCAACTACCTATGCTTCCAATCATCCACCCTGTCATGCCACTAATTACTATAACCATTCAGGTGGTGCTGAATATTATCTACAGTGAGTGTGATGCGATAGGGAAAGGAGATTTTTAAATGAATGAACAGAAACTGAGTTTAACTTGTTGATTATTCATTTGCTTGCTGAAGCACGGGCGTTGGGTGACTTGAGAAGCTACATTCAAAGCAGCAGGATTGGATTAGCAGCTTTGTTCCTCCGTCTTCGCATCACAAAAGCTGTGATATTGGAAATCCTAAACAGACTCTGATGACCTGACCTTTGTTCCCAATTTCCCCTGCAGTCATTCATCCTCTCATTCCTTTGTCTCTGCCACCCCATTCCTCACCCCATCCCCCAAACCTGATAAGGACAAGCATGCCCACATTTAACAAGCATTTAACATTTAGCATAGATTTACCCAGACATCAGCTTTCAAGAAACCCCTTTTTGAATGTGAATACTCGGCAACTCTGAAACCGCATTCTGTGTTTTTCAGTGGTGTTCTGTACATTTTGACATACGGTACTTTATCCAGAGGGGAAAACAAAGAATGTCAAGGAACAGACAACCCCGATGAACCCATCCTGTAGCTTCCAGCTGAGCAACTTTTCCTCCGAACACACCTCCAAATCTGCAAACCAATCCCATTACGGCACAGCCCGACGCGCCTACACTCCCCCTTCACTAGATCCTGGTCAACAGCCTCTTTGGGGCAGAGTCTACACATGAAGCAGATACACGCAAGAGTATTGCTCAGATCATGCACACACACGTGCTGCATACGTTATCCTTACACATGGTACAGCGAGTACCCAGGGGGAAAAAAAAAAACACACAGAGCATGCTCCAGGACATTCAGGCAAATAAAGGAGTGATGACTCCAGACATTAACAATCTCTCAAGCAGAAATACAAACAAAATGCACAGGAACACAGGCCTCCTCCTCCCTGCCACCAACTCCCATGCCCCTACCATGGTGTCACTCACATGCATCCTTAATAGCAAAATAAAAGCAAACACACAATGCCACAGAGTGCTCACATTAACTCCACCGTCCCTGTGTGATGGGGTGTCATCACAAAGCCTGGAAGGAAAAGGTGGTGAAGAGAGGGGACGCAGAAAGACGACCCTTTAAAATATATATATATACTACATATAATCTCACACACACTACTGTGGAAGTGTGGTTTAATATCTATGGACACAAACAAGCAATCACTCAATGTCATCTGATCTCGAGACGGTCTCTGAGATCAAGTCTGACAAGTTTCTGGCAGCAAGCACCGCAGAAGTTGACATACAATAAAGATTTAGCAATGAGATTAAACTTGTTATTTTAGTAACTCCTGAAATGATGTATTCATTTTAGAGTTAACAAATGGTCAAAATGGATACAATTTCATGTTGGAAGCCTTAAAAATCTGTCTGCTTCTGAAAGAGTGACGGACACTAGCTCAAAGAGGTTCAAATTAAATAGACAGTACAGTAGAGTACATTTTCTGTACCTGTATGAAATAAAGGTTCAATTCATTTGGAATTCATTGAGTAAACTTAATTAAAGCAGGCAAACGTAGATTTGAATGTCACATTTTGTGCTGTAAGGCCATTGTGTCTGAAAGAAAATGTTTCTGCTTCTGAAAAAGTGGCTAACATTATCCCAAAGAGTTCAAACACAAAAGGACAGGAAGTTCTCCACAATAAAGTTTGTAAATTAGTTTCTAATAAAGTATAAAAAATTCAAAAACAGGCAAAAATAATAATAATTTCATTTGAGAAAATGTAACTTAAGCAGGCAAACACACATTTAAATAGCCAGTTTTGAATGAATAGCAAGCCCATTTTAAACTCCATTTAAACCACAAAGAAAACCCACAGAAAGTCACAAATACTCACCTTCGCACGACTCCAAGCAACAGGCACGACATCTTCTTCGGTGCAAAAACTATTTAATAAAACCAGCTTATAAAAAAATAAAAGAGTAAAAAAAAAAAAAGCTCATTTAAGTTAGCAGAGGAGGTAAAGTGAAGGAGAGGCGGACTCAGAGCTGGTCGCAGCTCATATCTGTGCTCCGAGGGGACCTTGCACTTTGCTCAACGTGTACACTGACACAGATCCACCTTGATGAGAGCTGACCGACCACAGTGTCCTCAACCCGCTCTGTCTCTGCTGCTGCGTTCAGGGACGGTCACCGGCGCTTTAAAGTGCTATCAGTTATCATTTAGTTTTGAATTGTTCCGCAGGTTGTGTCCATATTGTTTTTCTCTTTCTCCAAATGACGGAGCGACCCGGGGGCAGGCTCGCTGGTTCCTCCCGGCTGATGCAAGTTTCCAGAGTTCCTGCAGCGCCAAACACAAACCACAGCGCCAAACCCACCAGCGTGGAGCCGCAACCCGGAAATACGAGCGGTGGTACGGAAAGAGATCCGCTTCTGGGTGGTGACATCAAACCCCCCCCCCCCAAAAGAAAGACTCAGATTTGGGGTCGGGAAGGGGTTTCAGGTTACAGAGTGACAGAGTGACTGTCTACCTTTACATTACCTTGCCAAAGTTACAGGAGACATGATTTTTCTATTTGTACATCCACTGTTGGACACACTGTGCAACAAGCAGGTATCAGCACCAGAGCAGGTTTTCCATAAAGCCATTTTCCAAATAGGATTTCCCAAACCAGGTTTTTTTAATGAAGTACTTTGGTGCATAAGAATAAACTTAGTGAGAGAAAGGAAGAAAATCAAAACAACTACTACAAAAGACAAGAATTATAAATATATAAAATAGACACAATCATATGTACTAAATGTTTTCAAATGAAAATAGCTGCACAGTGTTTGAGCTGAAGAGGATTGTGTGTGCAAGTATTTACATCCCGATTAGTTGTTTGTTGTAGGAAGATTTTTCCTCTGCAAAAAGTTACATTTGTTGACTTCAAATTCCAAAAACAACCCATGAGATCTACTGAAAACCAAATCAACTAACTTTATAAAAATGTGCTGGTGATCATTGTTGTATGTTTATCCTCCTTGTTTGAATTTATTTATTAATTTTATTCCTATTATTATTATTATGTTGTTTCCATATATTACTTATGATTACTGACATAGACCACTGATGTAATGTATTGTTTTCTGTGTTGTTGTTTGTTCTGTGCTCACATTAGTTAGAAGTTTCAATCTGTCAGACATATTTAAAGGGGCCCTGCAGTGATTTGCGCTTTCATAAAGTTGGTAGATTCACAGGCGACCAAGTAAAAAAGGAAATCAAGAGACAAAATTGGTCAAAATTAAAGCGGCAGATGGCAAATGATTCCGACTTTTAGCTCCATAATGCGAGTCTGATGTCATCATCATCAGGATTCATTTCCCAAACTTTAATGTCTCTAAAGTCTTCATACAGCTGTTTTACAGGCTGACTAGTGCTGTTGAGGGATGTGAGGAATACACTAAACATTGTTTGTAAAGTAGGTGGAGTGGCCCTTTAATTTATCTCTGCTGAATGTTACAAACTCCTACAGTTTATCTAATACTAGAATTTCACTCCCTTTCATAATTTTCTATTTATACTTATTTCTATTTATTTATATATGTATTTATGTCGAGTTTATGAAAAGTTACCAAAGTTAAGCCTCCCAAAAAATATATAGGGACGAGAGAAGAGAGGTTTAAAGTGACCAAATTGGAGCAAAATGACTTGCTCACAGCTTGTTTTTTTTATTGTGTTGACCTTTTCTCAAGACCGTGAAGAAACCTTTCAGACACACAGTTTCTTATCATAGAGGACAAAGAAAAGCCTTACGCTTGAGGAGCTGGAAGCAGTGAATATAGAAGAGTTCCAAATAAAAAAGACATAAAAGTGGCTCTTCTTCAAGCTCCACTGCCAAGAGAAATGTAAATCTGGAACATGGTGATTTTTGATATCATGTTACATTACTCATGAGTACTGGAGCTCGAATTTCAAACCGTTTTCTACTGCTGGAATCAGAGGCTGTGAAGTATGTAATTATCACTTTTATAACACAGATAAGCCTATTTTATAAGTTAAATAGGTTTACATTCACATATGAGCCAGCAGGAGGCTTTCACTGAATACTAACAGTACAGTACAGTACAGTACAGTACAGGGCAATCAAGTGTGTCTGCATCTGGTTTTAGTGAGTTTCCTGTTAATGTTTCTCTCCCTGGGAACTGGGGGAGGGGGTCTCTCACACACACACACACACACACACACACACACACACACACACACACACACAAGCTGTAGGAGAGAGGGGAAGTTAAGGGGTTGGGTCTTGGGTTGTGGAATATACTGCAGACATGAGATAAAGACAGATACAACAGTCCAACATGTCTGGTTAAACTTCAGCTTCAGCTGTCTCGTGTTCTCTGATAGGGCCTGCAGAGTCAGCAGCCGACCGAAGAGACTCCCAAAGCACACATTCATTATGAATGAATGCATACATGCTATACGCCACAGACTGCAGTCTATGGTTATGAAAGGGAACATTCAGAAATGTAAAAAGTAAAAGAAGCCATTAAGCTGTGAGATCTTTACTGAAAGTAAGGATCAGCTTTTCCTCTTGCTCCTACAGTTGGATTTTTTGATTGATGTCTGTGCAGAGTTTGACACTAGACGGATGTTTTTCCATTAATCTTCTGAAAGTGGAAAGTTTCTCTGTGCTCATTGAAAATATGATTTTTAAGGTGCCTATGAGCATGATTTGTGACATCACAAATAGTCTGGAAGTCAGTCCTGGTCCAGTATGCTACTTGTACAGTGTGAAGTAGAAACTTAAAGCCACTGTGGTATTAGTACTTTGACTGAAGTAAAGGATCTGAATACTTCCTCCACCACTTAAGGTGTTTAAGGTGTATAAAGCTGCATTTCCATCAGCCTGTGGTTATTCTGCTCAGGGTAAAATAATAGATTCTACTGAGACCTCAGCAGACTTAGGACAACTATATACTATACTATATATAAACTACTATATATATATAATGTCCTTGAATTTTACTGTATTTACCCAATGTGGCACATTATTTAAGATCAAGAATCAGTTTACTCAGCAATTCTTAGTCAGAGTTATGTGCTATGAACGAATACTGTGGCTTGCTGTAACCATTTAGGTCTTAATGAGGAATATTAATGACATTTTATTCACAAACTTTACATTGAAGAATCAAAATGGAAATCATAATACATAAAATATGCAATAATATACAATAGTTTCCCATAGTGTGATCAGCTGCACAATGACATAGTGTAACATTAAACCATATGTATCACTCATATATGTCCATTCTGCACAAAGATATTTTACTGACATGGTCACTAACCCTTAACTTCTCCTCTCTTCCTGTTAAAAGACACATGACCTTTGTCCGCTGTGTTTCTCAACAGCCTCCCCGACCTGAATAACACACTGCCAAGTTTTAATCTCTCACTCAATCAAATCAAAGAATCAATAACTAATGCTGCTCGCTCCGTAAACAAGTGCACCCTTTGCCCTTCGGATCAAACTTCGTGTAATACCTCATGCCCGATGAGTGATTTATTGTTGTGTTGATATTGTATTATACTTCACACTGCACATTCTCAGCCAGATATTAAACAGATCTACAATTAAACTATAAGTCTACCTCAAAGCCGTGTGTGATTTATGATTTAATAACAAGTTATCAGCCAAGTGATTAAATTTATGTGTTCATCTACTGATGTAAATAAACATGATGGGTTTTACCTGTGTGTATAACACAAAGCATGTGGGCATAATGATAGCATGTAACAGTGCAGATGACCAGGATTGTGTTTACAATGGGAGGCTCTGACGTCCTTTCTGTCCACTCAGGATCCTGTATTTGTTTTAGGCTTTAACCTGACTGGTCTGACCTCGGTTCTGTCCACACAGCTCTTGATGAAAGAGCCCATGTGACGGCAGATGTACGACAGCAGATCCCTGTAACAGTGGTCTCAATGGCAGACACACTTCAGGTTTATAGTGATTAATACAGAGCTAAAGGGAAGCTCTCCTGCTGCTGGGAATGTTTGTATTTTTTATCTGTATATAAGTTTCAGTAGGCTGTTTATACCTTATGTCTTTTTGTATTAAATCCATAAAAAGCTCTATTTCCTTTTTGCAGTTGAATATTTTTAATACAGAAGAATATTTGCGTCATTGAGGCTAAATTGTTAATACAATCCTTGATATAAGCGTATAGATGTTTTTTAAAAGACATATACCTTCACAGGTTCATTGTGGTGCTGTTGATCTTTATTATCTGTACACAGAGAACTTTGATTTACTCCACTTAGGACAGCAGCACCATCTAGTGGACACAGTCAGGACTTACAGGAGGAGTTGGACTATATGTGATCGTCTTCATTTATAAAATATTAATTAAAATCACGGCAATATATGTGATTGCTGGTGAAAAACTGCTCTTTATCATAAGTAGCCCATATATATATATATACACAGTATATATAGTTGTGTTAGTGTCTGTTTCTGTATGGTTTATATATTAATTGGTGCTGCACAGCTGGTGGTAATCAGCTAATCAAACATGGATGGAAAACAGGTGTTTGTGTACTGAAGCAAAGAGATGTCAAAAGGCATTAGCTTTTTTTTTCTTTGTTTTGACTTTTTAAATGGTTTAATAATTTTGCAAGTTTAAAAGTTTATATTCTTTAGAAAGTAAAAATACATTTGTTGCCATATTAATATAATTAAAGAACAAAATAGTGACACTTCTACATCTGACTACATCTTTTTGAATTCTTAGATGAATATTTTTAAGATAAATCTGAGTACTAAGAATCTGAAGTGATATACACAGTGTTAAATAACCAGATTTAATAAGACTGTACCTAAGGAACAACATGTTATAGTTTAGTAAGAAAATATCACTAAAGTAATAAATAAATAAATAAATAATATATAGGAATTAGAATTATTGAGTATAATTAACTAATTTCACTTTCTATAAGTATGTTTTTGCTTTGAGGCTACCTAGAATACTTCCCATCAATGGCGCTTGTTATAGGAAATTAAACGTCATGGGGGGGGGGACTACAAATCCCACAATGCAACAGGATGCTCCGATATTAAATTGGGAAAGTACGGAAATGTTTGAATGTGCGCTTTACTTTCGTTTTCGCTTTTTTATGCTGAGTAACTGTGAGTATCTCTGCGTCGTGCACGGCATTGAATTACACAGACTAACAGCTTATTGCTGCTCCTCTCCGACGTGCTGAACTTTAAACGCGTTTACAAACTTAAGTAAACTACTTCTCGCCCTCAGAGACGACATGGCCGCTCTGGGTATTCGCGTCGAGTCGAAGAAGCAGGTGAGCACGAAGCGTCTGCTAGCATGATGGGAAAGTGTTAAATACCGACATTTTAAACACACATTACCTCCAAACGACTGGCTGCTGTGTCGGTGATGCTAAGAGGCGAGCAGCCGTTCAGATAAGTGTTTGTTTTGACAAGTAAGACAGACAGCAGGGGGTCATACGAGGTTATCACGTAATTATCACGTAATTAGCCTCCAAAGGGCCTGTTGAGTCGGGTAATAGGAGCTGTTTTTTTTACTTAATATCCTCCATACAGCAGGTGTCAAAACATAAAGGAAACTCATTTCATATCTTCATTGCAGGTGGATGACTTCTGCCAAAACCTCACAAAGGAGGTAATTTATGCAATGGTTACACATCTTTCCCCAACTGTGGATGTAAGTGTGTCACATTGAGTGTTACAGGATTGTAAGTGTGTGTCTTTGTGTGACAGGCTGAGGAGCTGGTTTCAAAATTCTTCCCTCAGAAGATCGAGGAGCTGGAGATGCTGCTGAAGGTATTACAAATACTTGGGGGTGCTGCAGGGGTCCTTCGGGGTCACCTGGGGATTCTTCCACCCTTCCCGTTCCTGTCTTAGACAACAAAAAAAACTCTCTTATAGTGATGTTTCTTAAAATAAAGTGTAATCAAATCATGGTCTGTAATCTATGAGGCATCTAATGTGTAAAATTGTGTGTCTATTAAGGCTGTGCTCAACTATTTGGCTGTTTTTAATATGAAGATTTGATTATTAGTTCCTTTGTCTGCAGTGGAAACACAGCTAGTCTCATGTTTTAGTCTCTAAATGTGATGTGGAGACTCGGTTTGTAAAGTTTAGTGGACTCATGGACTTTTTGGGGGGTAGCCTTTGTGTCAATCCCTGATAAAGTTGTGTTTTCTGTCAGACGTCTTTCAGCTGCGATGACCTGGCATCCTTGAAGGCTCCACTGGACATCCCGATACCAGACCCGGCTAAAGAGGAGGCCAAACGCAAGAAGAAAGAGGAGGTAGGTCCCACCCTCTGGAGGTTTAACCCACCAGTGCTTAAATGTATCTGCTCCTTTCATGGGAGCAGATACATTTAAGCACTGGTGGGTTTACAGAGGTAAGAGGCAAATTCAGAAAACACCTCAGAGGCTGTAAGAGGTTGAATTAATTGAAACCCCGTATTGTGCCATGTTATATAAACGGGATTGGTTTTACAGTAAGGATTTAAGTATTTTATTTTCCTAACCTTTGAATTTCTTCAGGAGCGCTGCATGAAAAGCCTCTCAACTGGGATCCTCAGCCACGGGTTTATATTTAGCGTTTCATAAAATATCAAGACACAAGAGTCCTTTGTTACCATGGCAACCGATCGCTGTGTAATTTCCAAGGACTGGTTTACAAATTGGCCTTGAGTGGGCTTTTTATTTGAGTGATCTTTCTAAAAAAAAAAAAAAAAAACTAAATAGATGCGAGTGATTCGTTTATTTGGCATGTAAACATATTCAGGTCATGTTTAATTTGACTAGTAAGGGATGGAAGTATCCTGCGGGTGCTTCAAGCAGCACTAAATGATCACTGACTTCAAGATGAAAGCAGAATAATCACTCAAGGATAAGATATGACTCTCACCCCTTTATTGTATCTCCTATTTATACAGCTCCAGCTTCACAGTTGCTGCCGTGTTGCACACGTTGATTTAGAGGAGAAAAGAGTGTAACGCTGCCAGTGTCACTAGTTTTATGTAGGGAAAATGGGTTGAAAGAATATTTGAGATCATACTGCAACTCTTGGGAACAATCTTGAGGCTGTTGGAGTGCATTCAAAAGCTGTGTGCAAGAACCAGGGGCTGCTGGAACTAGGTTACATTTCTTATACAAAAAAACAAAAAGATCAAACATTTGACATCTTCATTTAACCAGCCATGGAAAAAAAATCACGTGGGTGAGCTGTCTAAGAGATTAATAGGCACTGAAAACTCTTTGACCTGCTGCCTTCTGTTCTTATGATGCAGAAGGAGGCGAAGGAGGGGAAGAAAGACAAGGATAAGGACAGCGATAAAGAGGAAGAAGATTCAGGTAAACGAGGAGACGGAGATGATGATATCAAGTGATAAAGCAACATACTTACTGAATGTGGAAGAAACATGGTGGTCAAATGCTACACAACACTGTCACTTTGTCTAATCCCTGGGTTTTGTTTGATTGCAGTCTGTTATGAGGTGATGGTGGTAGATCAAAGAAAATATGAATGGAGAGTGGTGTTCAAAAATGTTCATACTGTATGCCAGGATGGTGATTAATTTCACAAATCTCAGTGCACGAGCTAAACCATAATAATAGCTTGTCAGAGTTTGGCAGCTACAGTTATTCTGAAAACATGGAATCATTTTTAAAAACATTTGAGCAACAAACCAATCTTTGCCAGACGTTATTGCCTCTTTACCTGTTCCCTCACCAATAATATTGAAAAAGATATTCTCTTATGAGAAAACAAAGCCATTTTTATGTGACTGATCTAAATTGAAAAGGAAATCCTCTTGGGAAGCAGCTCAGGCAGGTGAAACCCAACTAAAGCAGAATCTTCTAATATTGTGACTGAGTGCAGTGATGTTTGGGGATGTTTTGTCCACCAGGGCCTCCCTGTGGTCCCATCTGCAGCAACGAGCGAGTGGAGAGTCTCCTGCAGGAGGTCAAGCCTCAGATCCAGACACTGAAGGAGAAGCTCAACACGGTCAGCCTCCTAATTAGTCTCAATCATGAAACAAAACTCGCTTTTTAGTGTGCCATGCAACACTGGTTGACACTGGTTACATAACCGGTCTGTGTTTAGACCTGTTTTAAATGTTTGAATGTTTTATCTTAGAAGTGTAATAATAGCAACGCAATGACAAACTCATTTATTACACGAGAGGTGAATAAAACTAAAATTTCCTGGCAGGTGTCAATGTGGGTGCAACTCCAGATCCCTAAAATTGAAGATGGTAACAACTTCGGTGTGGCTGTACAGGTTGGTAACCATTTGTTGAAGCATGTACTGTTAATCTCTCGTATGAAATGTATTCAGTTGGGGTTGATGTTTTTGTTCTCGTACAACAGGAGAAAGTCTTCGAGCTGCTGACCAACACACGCACCAAGATCGAGGGGTTCCAAACCCAGATTTCAAAGTAAGAGCACACACCGACACAGCTAGTTTGTGCTGGATTTTTCTTTATTTATTTGAATAAGGAGATACAGCCTCATCGTCTCTTTTCATCAACACTGATGTAGTCGTTCGTGTCCCCGTGCACCCTCATCCACCCACACAGGTGTCAGTAAGTTGGGTTGGTTAATGGCTGTTTTAGGTTTTCAGTTTCAGATGATCAAACACCATATACAGTTTTCAGCATCATAGCTGTGTTTTTCAGCTTAAACAGATCCAACAAAACACAGGTGTCAGGGAGCTGTTAGCCAGTCATGGACTATACACACATGCAGTCCTGAAAAGAGATAGGAGTAGTCATACTAACTGAATACACCTTTATTAATGGCTGCAGGGACTTCCAGACGTTTCAAAGTTTGACATTTTGACTGTTGTTTACGGCTCCCTTCAGGAACATCTGTGTAATGAGTTCACGCGTCAGTGCGCGCAGTGTGAAACGCAAGAACTCCTTCATTTTAAAGTGAAACTACAGAACTTTGGAGAGAAGAAATTATACAACCTTCCCCTCATACAATTCATAGGCAATAAAACACACTGTTGCTCAATTCAGTACACTGAGTACACTGGCTGATGTGACCACTGACATATATAAAGATGGACATCGCGTCTCCACTTCCCGCTACAAAAATGAAGCCAACTGCCGCATAGGGCCGCTGCCATCTTACTGTGGTCATTGGGAGTCTGTGCACAAGCAATCAGGGTTGGAGCCAGCTGTCAGTCATGGCATGCTTCACTCTTGGGGAGCTGTCATGTCATCCATCTTATTTATAAATAGTCAATGGCTGTGACCAGTAGCTTATGGTGGCTAATATTAGCTAATGTTAGCAAACTTCAGGTCAGGTATTGATATATCCTGTTGACAAGTAACTTCTCCTTTGTTTGTTTATTTAGATATTACAGCGAGAGAGGTGACGCTGTGGCCAAAGCCTCCAAACAATCCCATGTGGTCAGTATCTCACGTTGTGTATCTTCAGCCATTGTAATACAGATATTTCCGTTCTGTTTCTGTGTATTCATTCATTTTAGTAAAGATTTAATTGGTCAGACTCTCAGTGATAAAGAGAATAAAAAATATATATAAAACATATGGATGTTCATTGTGCTCCACCTGCAGACTGTATGCTCTATTTATGCTATTTTTAAAATGTTCTGCTCTGCACAAATTGGGTACATACAGGTTGTGCTGTCTCCTGTATGATTTTGCATATAAACTCTGTTGTGTGCTTTTTTTTTTTTTGCTGCAGGGAGACTACCGACAGCTGGTTCATGAGCTGGACCAGTATCAGTACTGTGAGCTCCGCCTTGTGGTCCTGGACATCCGCAACACATATGTAAGACGCCTACCGTTTTATTTCATATGTGTTTGTGTGGAAACATTTCAAATGTGTAAAAACTGTGGATGCACAACTGATTTGACAACCATCTGACTGCTTTAAGGACTGAGTGCATGTCATCTGAATATTGTAAATCACATGTATCAAACTTCATACACCATCTGTTGCGATCACACACTGTATTTTGGATAAAACTACCCACACATTCTAAAATATTCCAGCCATGTCCCAGCAGTAGTGACGGTGGCTAAATGGAATCCATCCCTTCTTAATAGGAGGGTAATTAAACTAATTGCTGTGCTTGTGTTAAATTGATTGGTGCTCCATCTTCCATCCATTAATCACTGTTTGTCTCCTTCCTCTGGCTATTGTCCTCCTGTGTTTGATGCTGTTAATGAACAAGGCGGTACAGGTGATGATGAAAGGAGCTGTTTGACACGATTACAGCTCTGGATCTGGGCGTCTCTCCCGCTTTTATTACCGCCCCTAACCTTTTCTGTCTCTCTCACACGCTGTCTATCTTTCTTATATCTCTCTCGCGCTACATTTCCACTGATGTGTCCTCTCCGTATCCGTCTCTCCAGGCCGTGCTGTTTGACATCATTAACAAGAACTATGACAAGATTAAGAAGCCCAGAGGAGACGGCAAAGCTCTCATCTACTGAGACGATTCCAGCACACTCACAGTCTTTCTAACAAGATACAACCAGTGTAGTATGACACTCTTATCAAGTAACAATACACCTTCTCTGACAAAAAAAGTCTTCTTTTTCATACTGTGCTTTCATTTTGGTTCGGATTACAAAATAAAGTGACACGATTCTGATAAATCTGTCTGTGCTTCTTTTGTCCAAATGGGAATTTAAAATGTGTTTTTAGCCTAATATTTACCTACAGTGAAAGTAACCTTCGTGGTCCTATAAAGGCAGAGTTATGTAATCACAGGTAAAACACTACACCTACATTCTCTTCACAACCTTAATGAGAAGCCACAACTATCAAAAGCTCGCATCTGAGCTTTCAAGGTCACATTCACACCCTCAAAACATCCACTGAGGGTTTCATACTACTGCTGTTTGTCCATCTCTGTGGTGGTAAAAAGTCCCTCTCCTGGCAGACCAGGACAGCCCCAGCTTGGTTTGAGTCTGTACCATCCCTGATAGAGTCCTCTCCATCCAAGGTAGCCCAGAGCTCCCCCCAGCTGCTGGGAGGGGAACTGGGGGAAGTGTGCGAGCAAACACAGCAACAGGAACATCCAAACAGCAAGTAGAAGTACACATAGGAGGAAGATGAACCTTAAAGGGCCACCGGGCGACCTCTGCAGAGGCTCTGCCTGAGCCAGGTGAGGGCCAAAGACGGACATTTCCTCCACCAGCAGCAGGCAACACAAACAGAGGATGAGGACATCCTGGGATACTTCGTAACCTCTCCACACCATGTTGGCTTTGAGACAGGAGGCCTTGGTCTGGTCCTCATGCAGGAGCAGCAGGGGCTGTACTGAGGAGGCAGCGCCTTGGGTATCCCTGCCCGGGGTCATAGGTTCATAACAGGTTCCCGCTGCATCCTCCAGCAGGGCCAGGAGACGCTGACAGCCCCACCAGAGCAGCGCCACCACCCCTATTCGAGAGAGGTGGCGGAGGGAGAGAGAGGGGGAGTGGCGGGCTGAGGTGGAGAGGAGAAGGATGAAGGAACATGTGAAGACGCAGGTCCAACCCCAAGTGGACTTAAGGAACTTCCTGAAAGAGAGCATTGATGCAGAAACCAGTCAAAAAGACAGTTATTTAATCTACTTGAGTTTGTTGTGCTGCCAAAGGATGCTAATGGATCCATATTATGAGTTATATAAAATGCATTAAATAACCTCACAATAAAAGCATAGCATTATGGGTATTCAGCTCATGTATAAACTTGTATGAACTTACTTGTATTTTTAAAGTTGGATAGGGTCCACAATACACACAATATACTGTATAATATTAATATATAACTTCTGATGGATTTATACATTGTCAGGAAAGCTGTAATGGTGTTACAATGCATAAATTAAAAACGTTTTGGTGGGTTGCCAGATTAATATGGCAGCAGAGCATCCAGCAAAAAAAAAAAAAAATCATAATTTACTACCATTGTAATTGGAACCAAGCCTTTTAACTTTAACTGCACAGTGGCCACAAGTGACATTGTCAGGATAATGGTAAATGCTAAACCAAAGTGTAAGAGTGGCACAAGTAGAAAACTATATAGAAATAGCCAATCTTCTCATTGAATGTCTTGTTTGTTTATGTAGGTCCTACAGAGGAATCAGAATTAAATTAAGACTGTTTCATAACCAGTTAAAAACTCCATGTAGTACCTTTAAATGTAACTGGTCTTTAATGTGCGTTTAATGAGGTTTTGGCTCAATGACACCCATTCAGGACAGATTTTAATGAGCAAGCACATCCAACTGAAAGTCACAGTTACTTTCTCAGTTTCCAGCAAGAGCAACTAGTTATAAACATGACATTTCCATTTAAATGCAGAAACACAATCATGAACTTCTGATTTTCCAGAGCTCTCACCTGTACAGGTAGTGGTTGCTGTTGGCGAAGATGCTGTACTTTGACACCCAGAAGCTCAGCACAGGACCAAACAGAACCAAACCAGACAGCATCAGGTGGAAGTGTCCTCTGACCAGGCTGCTTCCCAAAACTCTGGCCAGTAAGTTTGTAACTAACACCAGAGCGGCATTCAGGAGCCTGAGGATGAATTTCCCCGGCAGTATCAGCTCTGCAGCCATCTTGTGTAACTTCTCCAAGTTGATCTCTGGCATGGAGCCATTTGAGGAGTTTTCATTCTTCAGATCCATGTGTATCTACTCCGCTTGTCCTCTTGATGATACCTTTTGTAGTTTTGGATTGGATTTTGTTTATGTTTCCCTCCTCTTTTCTCTTACTGTCAAATTAGAGCCGTGTGGCGGAGTCTGCCTCACTTTCCTTTTGTCTTTGAAAGCCACACCACTTCTACTCTGGGAGCCTTTCTACTTTATCACTGTCAGGCGTGCAGGGCAGCACATGGTTTATAAAAATACAGCCCCTCAGTCCCCTTTCCACTCCAAAGCCCTCCCCCCTCCAGAACACAGACTCACAGTGTGGACATGGTAATAGCTGCTGCTGTAACTGACCCCATTATTCTCAAAACAATGATCCAACATGTTGTGAATTTGATCCCATTTGATGCAGTTGATGATAAAAACAATAAAACACAATTTGTGCATAATTTTGCAATCAGACTTTCTGGTGTAATGCAACATTGTTCAATTACATTTGCACTTAGCATCAAGAAAGTCTTGTCTATTCCTGCAAAAAGGATCATTCTGACATAAAACATGTCATCTGGCTCCTTCTTTGGCTCTCCTTTAGTCTCTCCATTCTTAGAATCAGCTGCTGGAGCCAAAACTAATTTAAGTTATAAACTGTTGCCAGCCTGCATTTGGCGCCTTGAACAGCTGCGTTTCTCACAGCACTTTCAGTCTTTTTTATTTCCAGGCCCGTTCCTCAGGCCAGAGCCTCTTAAACCTCTTCAACTCCCAGAGCCAAATTGAGTAAATTTAGTCTTTCCATGGGATTTGTGCTCAATAAAAATGACTAAAGCTGTTTTCACAAGCCAGGACATCCAGTCCCACTACTACTGTAGACTCCAAATCCATACCAACAGAAATACTGCTGGAGTCCATATGTAAGAAGGAGCTGTATTTGTTTTCTTTAAGCGACACAGTTCTTACATAATAACGATAAGGAGAGGAGCGCTAACTGTATCTTTTTTTTCACAGTAATAAGAAAAGCTTTACTTTCTACATGAAGTGTTGCTGACCAGCATTCCTTTCATTGAAACTGCAGCAGGGACAAACTATTACATTCACTGTGTTGGTGGCTTTTTATAAGAATCTAATTTGCATCAAGTAGGAACTCTAAGTATAAATCAAACAGACATGGCAAAGAATATCTGTCTAATTTTAGACCACTTACTGCATTGCTGCCATTACAATGACCTTCAGGCGACTTTGCTGTAGTTCCTGTAGCTGCTAATTGTCAGTTGTGTGTTATGTGCTACTGGAAAATCCACGTAGTTGTATTTAGCCAAATGACAAATTCAGAACAAAGAAACTACTTAAAAAATGTCCCACTGAGTCTCATGTGACGTTTTTTCGATGATGAGTACAAATGGACACTGATCTCCATTTAGTTAACAGGATATGTAAATGTTGCATTGTCTCCACATCCCACTCCTGCATGTTTAAAGCCTGATAAAGCAAATTTAAACACAAAACAGTAATTCCTTCTCCATAACAGCAGCAACTAAGTAAAGAGCTTTAGTCCATGGCGATACATTTAAAGAGAGGTTTTATTGTTCCTGTAAAACAACGGTCTGAGAGTGAAATATGGGCTTTGATATAAACACCTGAAAATTGCATATACAGATCAGTGTGTAAGTTTTGATCCACGCACACACACACGCACACACACACACCCACCCACCTTCACCAAATCTTGACTCCAACATATTATTACTCACATTCAAATCTTTTAAACAGATCACAGGTTTATATTGGCCAACAAAAATTACTAAGACTAAGGGCTTGTGTTTACAGAGCTGAGTGCTGACCCAGGATCAATAATATGACCTCAGACTATCGCTGTGTCCAAATACCAAGGTTGGGTTTAGATTTGAGGAGGTCTCAAGAAGATTTAGCATAAAATCATTGAGTTGGACAGTTAAACTGAGAGTATGTTTGGGCGTCCTGGTCTACTTGGAATGCTGGAAATATCTGACATAGCAAAGGAAGTTTCCCCTGAACAGCTGACCAAGTGGTGGGCCGACGGTAAGCTCAGGGAAGTCACATAATAGCCAGGTTCAGGAGTTGTGACTCTCATGTAGGCTCATTATAGTAAATCAGGTGTACTTTGAACGTGACAGACCCTCAAATAGGACACATCTCATTTTATCCATACCAGCAAAGTCAAAATTGAGTCCAAATCAGCACACTGATAACTATCTAAATACACTCCCTGAACGCACATACCATTAAAATACTATACATTTATACAGAATTATCCCCCTCAGTTTCTCCCTGCAATATCCAACGTTGATTTTTTTTTATGTTACTAACTTACCATTAAATTTCAACGACTCATTAAGTAAGTGCAGTGTTTGCCGTTTTGAGCTTCAGCACATTTGAGTGAAGTGTTTCAGGCCAAAATTCAAAAGCTCTGGCCTGTAGATTTTGCGCAAGACAGTGAGGCAAAAACAAAAGACGGACAGAAGTAGGCCGTGCCGCTGCGCCCATATCTGCACTCGACAATGTCAGACTATAATGCCTTCCAAATGAACACTTCACAACCACGCTATAACTGTAATCATTAATATCCAGCATTGAATTATAAAGATATTTAAGTCTCTCCCAGTCCTTTAGAGCTCACGGTCTTCTTCTGTAAGGCCAGCCTCGCCCCTTCTGTGGTGATGTCACTTCCTCTGAAATCTTTTTTTTCTCTTTTGTCTCTCTTCTTCTCTCTCTCGCGGCCTCAATGGTCTTTCTCCGGCTGTGAGCCTCTCTCCCTCTCTCTCTCCTCCTCAAGAGGATGGGTCTGTCTGTGCTCCCACATTCGCACCGCTCCGTCCCACTGTGGACAAACAAGAAGGAGGATGAGGAGAGGCATCAGAGCTAAAATGTCTTATTTTAATGTTAGTAGCTCTGATTTCAAGTTCCCTATTTTCCTGTGACGTTTCCTGTCCCATTTACTTCAAATTTATTAAAGCTGAAATCCATAACATATTTGAACTAAGAATAGGTCGAAAAACAGGTTGTTCGCATTCAAACACTTTCACCAAGGTTAAACTTCCTGTCTTTGCATCAGTTTCAGTGACTTTGCTCTGGGTAGAAACTCGCTAACTTTCTGGCTCAAAATTCTCTCATATATTTGTTGCCATTTTTGTTCTTTCATCTACTGAATGTAGGGATGATAGCTATCATTGTGGATGTCATATTTTGGACATTGAATGGGCGGGCAACGTTTTTTGCATTAGCCATGTAGCTGCTAAGCTAGTAGAGACAACAATGTCACAAGAGCTTTTTTTTTTTTCAGCTTTGAGTAAATAGTCTTGTTTTGTCACCAGCTAAATTTAGCTAGATAAACCACTAACAAGTCAAATTTAATGCAATATACATTAGAAACAAGACTGATATAGATATTTATAAATATATTTCTATAAATAGTCCATTTGATTCTCTGTCATCAGCAGAAAACGCATCAAATCATCTGACTTCTCTTAATTTCATGGTATTCTGTTACTGGAGGAAACACGGTCTGGTTTAATTCCCCTCGATACAAAACCAATTAGAATTTTTGAAGAGCTTTCTGTTGATTCACTGCAATATTTATGATCACAAGCTTTTACACAGAGACTCCAGTTGAACAGTTTGCATTAACAGCACTCACAGAGCTGCTGACGATGTTGTCCTCGTACGGGTGCCAACTGATGTCTCTCACACACGCGTCATGACCCGACAGTCTGGAGACCACGCCGCCCGTCAGCACGTCATAGACTGGACAGGCAAGAAAGAACTTATTTAGCTGCTTGTAGGTATTTAGTGCAGATTAGTTCCCTTTAATCACTCTCACTCACTTTTGATCTCACACAATTGATTTTCCATGTAAAAATGACTAAACCAGTTAGGCTGGGTTAATTGGCGCTGACACTACTACACATTGCAGAAGCACACACGGGCACTTGGTGACACTCACTGATGATTTTGCCAGTGGAGCAGCCAGAGTAGATGAACCTCTGTCCGGTGCTGAACTCCGGAGAGAAACGGCAGCGGATGAGGGTGTGCAGAACGCCGTGACCACGGTAGGTCATCACTGATGTGTCGCCCGTCAGCTTGTGTCTCTTTAAGGCTGAGAAGGTAAATACAAACAATATTTTTGAGACCTTAGAGAAAGTCATGATTAACCTCACATTGGTATGGTACAATTTACGAAGACATACAAAAATAGTTTACATCTTAAACCTCTGTAAGCTCTCTAAAAAAGTGGGTAAACTATTTTTATTTTATTTTCTATTCTTAGGTTTCCTGCTCCCCCCTCCGTCCCTGCTCCATCTCATTATCCTTCACCTCTCCTCTACACCCACGTTTCACCTTTCTGTCATTGGCCCTCTCGCCCTTTTTTTTATAACGTCATTCCATCTTTATCTCCTCCTCTTTTCTTCTTCCATGTGACCTCTCCTCCTCTACCTTCCCTTCTCCTCTCCCATCCCTCCTGTCTCCTTCAGTGCCAGTAGCTCCCTTTCTCATCCTCCCAGTTACCTCCCTTCCTCCTCACCTCTCTGGGGAACCTGCTGCCAGCGGTAATCCCAGTTTTGTTGGGTGACAGCGAGGCGGGAAGCTGCCAACCCCTCTTTGGGAGAGAACTTCCTGACATCCCAGAGCTTGATGGACTGGTCCTTCGAGTTGCTGATGAGATAGCGTGCGTCCCCCTGGCGCATTCACGACACAGGTGACCAAATGTAAAAGTAAAGAAAACAGACCTCAGAGTTAGACCAATATACCGGACTAAATAACACATACTGGGCTAATAATGGCATTTAATTAATCAACTTCCAACCAGTCATCCGTCAAATGCAACTACCCACAAGAATTTGTGGAACTTCACATTGACAGATTGTTAAAATACCAGCAACATTCCTCTCTTCGCTCCCCCCCACCTTGCTGTGGATGAAGGTGATGCCGTCTCGGTGGCCGGCCAGCTGTCCGACAGGCTGCGGTCTGTCCTCCCGCAGCGTCCGTCTGTCCCACACCTTGCACAGCGCATCGTCACTGCCAGAGAAGAGCAGCTGGGACGAGCTGTCGGCGAACGCCACCGCATTCACGTCGTCCTCGTGGGCATCAATCTGATGAGCAGAGACGCAAAAGCGTGTGTTTGTGAGATTGTGTGATTTCCTTTGTGAGAGACACAGCGTGAAGTATACATGCTTGTGTATGTCTGTGTGTACCTTATAGTTGTAACAGAGAAAAAAGGCTGGAGTGTAGAACATCAGTAGGATAAATAAGCTAGCCCAATGTTTCAAGATGTGATCCTGTATTTTTCATGTTTTATTTAAAGGCAGAGCTGTTATTGCAAGACTGAAGTACGCTGAAGTTCAGACAATTACATTATCAGTACAGTTTTCTGCAGCAGATGAGCAAGTCAGCACTAAAAACAGGTTTTTGAAAGTGGGGCTACACAGTACTACTGTATAACTCTATTTGATGACACATACTCTGCCATTATAGCCATAACAACAACAGCTAGAAATGCAAAGTCATGGTAGTTTGTAGAGATGCAGCCACTAATTTATCCTTTAAAGCGTAAGGATGGCAATACTGGCAATAATAAGCCCTGCGTGGTTCCAAGGATGGCAGCGGCAGTCGGTCCATCACTTTGGTCCAGACTGAAATATCTGATTCAGACATTCATGTGTAATCACTTTGGTGTTCCCTTAACTTTTTATCTAGTAGGGGATTTTTTTAATTTGCCCAATACTTTGATTTATGACCAGATATCAGCAAAACTAATGACATTCCCATCAGCCTCAGATGCACTTCACAATCTTGATATTAAAATAGTGAACATGGTGGACAAAGGGATTATACTTGCAAGAAATCAGCATGTTAGCATTGTAATTGTGAGCATTTAGTTCAAAGCCCTGCTGTGTCCAAGTGGCTGTAGACTCTATTAGTCTTGTTCTTTTATTATCAACAAAACCTATGAAAAGACCAAAACTAACAATAGGTTACTTCCACTCTCAAAACTCTCTCACTTCCCCAACTTGGCTGTGGCTCTCGGCTCAAAAATGTGTCCCTACGGAAGAAATGGTTCTCAATCAATCAATTACCAAGCTTTAAAAGCAGGTCAAAAATATGAACTTTCAATTTGAAAAAGGTTAAATAATTACCTAGAACAGCTGGGCACAGTCGTCTGTAGCAAACATGACTCAAGTAGAGCATTTGTTGGGGACTATTTTCACCCACCAATTTGGTGCTCTAGAGAGTATTTACAGCAGCAGAACGGGGGACATGGGATCGACTCAAAATAAACTACAGCTCCAATGTCTACTATAATAAAGGAACATGTCACCCACTCTCTCTCTGTGGCTCACTGCGGTGTTTTTTGGACAAGTAGAGCTCTATGGCACAGAAGAATAAGATATATCAGGCTTTGGCAGGCATGACATATTGGTAGAATCAGTTTATTGTTGGTTTTGGTCTTTTCATCAGATCTGTTAACAATAAGAAAAACATAGACCACTACCAGACTTATCCTGGGAACAAAATGGGCAAAAGGAACAAGGTCAGAGATAAAGACAGAGACACCCTGACGCAGAGGTAATGGGACAGACAAAATGAAAAAGAGCGTAAGACAGTGATGAAGCAGATGGTAGAGGCCAGCTACTGACTTCTGCTCAGAGGGGGGTTGTGGGAGGAGGAGGGAGGAGGGGTTAAACCCCCCTGTCCCGCTGCAGGGTGGAGCTGGAGTCTGCTGCTACGATACAGACAGCAGCGTGGCATAAAACTTTATGTGAGCCGGTTCACTTTCAGGTCTGCTAATGTCTGCCTCACCTTGATCGCAGGATGAGGCAGAAACGGGTACAATCAGGCCCACAAGCAAAGCGCAAAACACCAAATGCACTCAGACACACTAACCTTCAACGTTCGTTTATTCTGCTCAAGATCAAAAACGTAAAGGCAGCCATCATTTGCTCTGAAAGAAGAGGAGAGGGAGACTGAGCACATTCTCATTCAAGGTTTAAACGTGACTGACTGCACTTAACTGAGTGTGCTTTATATTAGATATAGGTGTATTGTCCTCAACAAGAAAAACAATCTATTCAATATTGAACAAACGGCTTTCAGAAAGAGAAGAGCTGCCTGAATTTACATTTCTGAAAGAGACATCAGTCCTGGTTTCAACTCTGTCAGCCACTGCCTTCAAAAATGAGAGCTACTCACCCTCCCAGGATCTCATTGCCATCTGTGGACGCAGCCAGTGAGAACACACAGAACCTCCTCTCATCTGGACTACAAAGCACAACACACACAAAAGCAGGATGACACTACAGCAATAGCACTGTTATTGAATCACAACTACACTGTCATTCCACACCAAAACGCTTGATGAAGACATACATCACCTCTTAAACAATGCTATTGTTAGGAGTGCTGTGAGTTTAATGGTAGTGCTTTGTTGAAATAATGATCTCTCCAATTAACAAAGTAACACACACACACACACACACACACACACACACACACACACACACACACACACACACACACACACACACACACACACACACACACACACACACACACACACACAGTGAGAGGATGGATGTTGAGGTGACAAGTTCTGACAGCATCATTCATCCAGGTGGTAATGAAGGGAAAGGAGGGCCGGCTGGTAGGGAGTGATAGATTACCTGCTCCGTAATGTTATAAGTTACTATGAGGGAAACACTAACTTGAGGTCCAGGGCGGTGTGGTTTTCACTGTCTCCATCTATACTGCACAAATGAACTGGGGGGAAGGCACACAGAGAGAATATGTGAATAAAACAACATATTATATGACATCATGCTGCGTACACTGGTCGAATATAAAATGGAAAGATGAGATTTGCAGCATTTTCTGAAGCTTAGACATTAAAAATATAAATCTTGCTAACTTTTATATGATATATGATACTCAGCAGTTCACTATATAGTAAGATTTCAGATACTTGTAAATTACCACTGACAGCCATACAACAGTATTTTTTGCATCTATAGATGCGATTACTGTGGGATTGTTGTATTATTAAAATAATTTTCACGTTTTTACATTTCACTCAGACAAAAAATAGTGCAAAGTACATTAAAAAACATTATATAGTAAATATGCAGTCAGAGAGGTCTTCAAGACTGCCTTATGTCCCACACAACACAGTTAGCTCAGGAGCTTTCTATTATAATTACTATTACTGTTATTATTATAGCATTCAGGATTTTCTAAAAGAAATGACATTTTTGGGAATACTTGGTTCAGCCACACCAACTACATGGTCATATGTTTATTCAAATAACTGACCATTGATCTTTTAAAGATCCAGTTTGTGTATAATATATAATCTAATCGTTGTGTTTCTGTTATCCTAGAATGGGCCATTTGTATCCCCAGAGGGAGCAGGTCCTGGAGTTTGTCATGTTAAACCGCCATGTTTCTACAGCAGCCCAGAACAGACAAACTAAAGACAGGCTCTAGACAGGTGCTCCTGCAGCCAGCATTGTTTCTCCACGCCTGGAAGGGGAGGCTGAGGCCTGATCCCACTAAATCCTACGCAGTGGACCTTAAAGCTCTTTTTCATACTTCAAGAATAATGGTTAAGGTGGTCCAAAGAATCAAACTGAGTACGAACATATCTAGATCTCTGTCAGACAACACAGTCCTAACTAACTGTAGGAAATAAGCCCAGACACACAGTTTTTATGAGGGAGATAAAAAAAAAAAAAGGCATACTATGACATATAACTAACATACAACTCAATAACTGCCACATGCTAAGGTAAAGTTACAGGGACTGAAGTCACATTTCTTTTGCTGCCACGGCACCATCAGTAAAATCTGTCTTGGTTCTTGGCAGATCACTTGCTGTCCAAGCCGTAACTAATTAGCATCGTTGACCGATTGGATTACATTGGGTATTTCAGGTCTCCTAGCCTTACTGTAGTCAGACCAGCTGGAGTAGAGGACATGATGTGCGTCAGGGGTGAAGCAGACATCCAGCACACTCCAGCCCACATCGCGAGCCTTCACTGTTCGCCGTAAGTGAAAGCGCCCCCTGGTGGTGTCATACAGGCGGATGTTCTGGTCTGCAGCGAGCAAAAGAAAGAATAAATGCAATCAAATAATGGAGGGGCGGTGGTGGAATCTGGGTGAGACCTGTTGTCCCTCGCCTGTATTGTTTGCTTAAAAAACAGAAACCTAGTTTAAAAAGATATCACATAATAAATCAATAAAAAAAAGGGACAGAATTCAATAAATATGACATCTATTGATGTTTAAAAAAGCTATTTAAAAGTCAACAATACTTAACCACATTCTCTATATGACTCTATGCGAATGGCCCTGATGATTGGTGGTCCAAGCAGTTTTAAACAAACACTAAGAACGATTATCAGATCTGATTCAGTTCCTCTGGGTTCTCATGTTGGATGTCGGGTTATTTACCTTGGCAGGCAGAGAGGAACATGTTGCCATCCTCACTGTACACTCCACAGAAGGCTTTCTGCTGGTAAGTATCCTTGTGGGATACATAGTTTGGAAGAAAACTGCGAAGGAACAAGGGTCTATATCATTTGACAAATAACAGCATGAGGGCTCATCATGTTGTAGATTTTCACAAGAAATATACAGCAATTAGTCACATGAAAAACAAGAATGAAGAACTAACTGATTCTTATTCTTATTCTCTATTCTGTCACCTTCTGGTAATTTGTTGAGAAATACTGGGAACTGAAACAACACTTACTGTGTGCGGATACGACTGCACTCTCCATGGGAAAAACTGGAGCCTCTACATCTGCCTTGTTCCCTCTAAAAAGCGAAGAGTTCATCAGAAAAGAAAACATCAAGCTTGTCAACGTCTAAAGGGAATTAAACTGGCTGACACAAACAGGTCACAAAAAACCCTCTTAAATATTTGGACAAACTGGGTTGAATATTAATCTACGCTAAAGTAAAGCTCTTAATGATTTCACACACTTCTTGTAAAACTGTGGATGATTATTAAAAAAAACTAATCATCACTGGTCTGCGATACCACTTTTATTAATTTTCGATTGTATCTATTGCGGTCTGACCTCTGTTAGCAAGTGGGTGAAACTCTGTCGCCCTTTCAAAACAGAGGAGGCGGTGGCCAGCAGGATCTGAGTTCGGATCTCACTCTGGTCCACCTCGTGTGTGTCGGGTTGGGTGTCCACTAAACAGATAATAGATAGAAAGATAACACACACACATAAAAACGTGTCATTTTTAATATGAAATGATGATAATAAAGGAGAGTGGGAAAGTAGGAACCGACTTGTTAACTGAGGTTTAAGAACTTTAAAGAGGATTTAATTTTTTTCCGACCCGTTGGCTGGCATTACGAATAACTGTATAGAAATCTGGAGATCAAGAGATCTTGTTTGTTAATGTAGGTCATATAGAGGCAGTAGTATTAAATTCAGACTGTTTCATAACCAGTTTAAAACTCCTTGTAGTACGTTTGCTGGCTAACAAAACTTCAAAGTATAAAAATGTTTTTCACACCAATTACTAAATTTTGTCCCACACAAATAACATTTTGGATCCTACAATGGCTGCACGGTATGTTAAAAACATCACATTTCGATTAAGATATGATTCACAATTAGTGTGGGAATGATCATTTTAGCATCACATTTAATTTTTACAGACGAAAAATAATAATAATGAATTTTCTAGGGTCTGTGCAACAGAAAACATGTTTTCTGAAATCTGGAGAAGGAAATGTATAATGCTATTTGTCACATATTTTACGTTTATCCAAAAGTTGCAGCTTGCACGATTTGCATATTGCACTTGGTCATATCGCGTTTTTTGAAAAACAAATATTGACAAATTTTGCAGCCCTAGATACTATTGAATACAAGACAATAGCTGTACTGGAAATACATATCTTACGGAAATCTTACACATTACTGGCATATATGTATCATGTTTCTTCAACTGGTATTGGGCGGATTCCAACTACAGAGTACAAACAATGTGAAACAATGTCCCAAAACACAGTTAATCAATACAGCAAGTAAAAGCTTTTGTTCTAACAGACCTCCATAAGCTTTCCAATATGTACAGCTGTTGAAATGTTTCAGCAGAGGAGTGATGGTAAGAGGATCTCTAATATCACGCAAGATACTACATAGTTTTCTTCCTTTATGCCTGTACGGGGAACAGTGTCAGAAGGACGTTACCTGGTGGATTGTAGCGGTCACCCAGCCGACCCTCCCAGGCTCCGTCACTGTCCTCATCAGAGTCAGAGTATGACTGGACCAGCTGCAGCCCTGTGGCTCCACTGCCATGGACCAGTCTGACCTGGCCCCTGCACACACACACACACACACACACACACACACACACACACACACACACACACACACACACACGAACACCACATCACTTCAACAACCAACAAATCCAGATGGAGATACATGATCAAATTAATCTAACCCTCTACAGTGAAGCGTTTACCTCAAAAAGAATTTCAAAGAATGACGTTGGAACAGACATCTTGCTTTACTAATAGTTGAAATATTCATTCAGATATCAGTAGTCCAGCTGAAGCCCAATGTTGAGACACTTGTGGCAGTGGGTAAAGCTAGATTCTTAATACGTTTAAATAATGGTTTTCCAGTGAGCAGCCACACTGTAACAGATGGGGGGATCAGTGACTCGCTCCAGGGTAACTGATGGGCTGCCTATTCATTTCTACTCTCCTAGATCCTGGTACTTTCTAGTTCTGACTACTCTGCTGTGTTATTACTAGAGGCCCCTACCACTGTCAAGTGCTAAAAACTTATTTTTTTCAGATGTGGTTGCTAGGAATAATCAGAACTTTCCCAGCCACTTTAACTACATTACAATCAACCTGGAATGGGGATGGGAAATTCCCAACCTCCACATAGCTGTAGCAGAAATGAAATGTAATGTGAGCCCTTCATAGAGAGGCAGAAACACTTTAAACTGTCTCTCTACGTTGTACCATTTGAAGAGTATTTGATAAACTGTCACCTCTATAGCAGCTTTAATGTAAAATTAGTGGTATCCATAATCAGCAAGTACATGTGATTCCACATAATTTATTAACCCTAATCCAAAATGGGACCCTGCTACTTCCTAGCAGTTGGTTTACCTTTTTTTTTTTTTTTTTTACCAGGATAGTGAAGTGACTATGGCAAGGGGGTTTAACCTGATCATACAGGCTTAGTAGTACATTATAATAATATATATGTATATATGTGTATCGGATGGGTAGTCTGTATTGGCCGATGTGCAAAGTCCAGGTATCGCAAACAGGAAGGAACAAACTGTATCAGAACATCTCAATACACCAAACTGGACCCAGAAGGGCAAAGTAGTACACGTGTGTTTGTTAATGTTTGTGTTCACATCTGTCAAGTCATTTTAAACTCCCACTTCACCTCCTCAGTAGGTAAGCCAGCACTTCAGCTAAGTCTACGTCCTCTTCTGATGCCGACTGTCTGTCTCCTTGCTGCCTGTCAGCCGTCCTGCGGCCCCGGCTGCTACTGCTGCTACTACTGCTGCTGCTGCTGCTCTGGTTTGGTTCTGCTGTTTCAGACTGCTCAGCTGGGTTGCCACTGGAAGAGCCCCTTCCACCAGACATCCCAGAACTGGACTGAGAGCCCATAGACTGAAGAGGGCCTGGCAGGGAGAATCATTTCAGGTTAAATGTCAGTTTTACCTTTCACCTGGGGGAAGCCAGGTGAACACAAACTGCGGTGTGTGCTGACTGATAAGCAGAGAGGAAATGTAGAAACAGAAGTCAGGTTAACAATGGCTGCAAAAAAAAAAACCAGACCTGCGTTAAGTTAGCTAAACTGACACCCGTTTAAGTTATTTGTCCAAGCCACTGTACTTCCACTTCTTCACATTAACAACCTAACGTTACGTGCTCAGCAAATAAATCGACCAACACGTCCGTACTGTACGTTAAACTCCTCCTGATTGAGGTGCAGAGGATGTTTTTTGTTGAGCTAAGCAGCTAAAAATGCTAACAACTTAACGTTACCGTCTGACTGTCAAACGGTGTTGTTGACAGCTCGTCAGTCCAGCTCTTCGTCGTGTCGCTGTCAACTTAACTATCTGTCCGCTGCGTTACTTCCGCACGGCCCGCCGCAAAAAGAAGCTGGAGGGTTTTCCAACACAGTGTTTTGTTCAGTAGGCTAGCAGGGCCAGTCCGTGGATCGCCATGTTGTTTACAAAAGTGTGAAAAAACCCTGCGCGTGCCCCTGCCCTTTCGCCGTCACGTGATCCGCACCGCTGTCGCTCGTGCCAGCTCCAGTGGCCGGATTGGACTGAAAATCAATGACAAACACAGGTCACAACATAGCAGCGTGTGTTAGTGGTTCACAGTCACTCACAATGGCTTCCACACACACACACACACACACACACACACACACACACACACACACACACACATATACACACACACACACACACACACACACATACACACACACACACACACACACACACACACACACAGAGTCCCTCACAAAAACGAAACTACAACCAATGTTTACAAGTGCTTTACAGGAATTAAAAAAGTTTTAAAAAAGAGTTTAAAAAAGAGTGAAAGAAACAAGGTAGACACCAGTAAATCAGACCAAATCTAGTATGTACAGCCATAACACATTAAGAGCAAATTAAAAGTTTATATGTTAAATGATTAAAATATGCCACTGAGGATCCCACATATGTAAGCATTTTGGGTCATGGGAAAGGTAGTTTTGTTTTGTTGCATAGTTCTCTTGTTTCGTTCAACAAACAACATCTGCCCTGCTCATTGCTTTACTTAAGTGATCACTGCGCTTGGTGTTCACGATCTCACCAGCCACAGTTCCTCTGACATGCCAGGCTGGATTACCAGATTACCGAGCCCCACATTCAGTGTGTGCCATTTTGTTTGTAGTAATTTAAATAATGATAACCCCCCCCCCACCCCCACCCCCCTCTCTCATTATTACCTCATCCTGGCTCTGACTTTCAGTCTGTGACTGAGGGGTCACAGGCTGAAATTGAAGATGATGATCGATGCATCACTCTGGTATCTCATCTTTTGTTACAAGTCCCTCATGGAGGAATCAATTAATGCTTACATACTTTTTCTTTTGTAAATACCAGAAACAAATGGATATACAGCAAGCCCGTGGAAGGCAGTTCTGGGTCTCTATGGAACATAATGTCATGTATAATCTGCAGTGTGCACTTGGTATATGGAGATGATGGGTTAAATACACAATACACAGCGAGCAGGAGGAACAGGAGGTGAGGAACAGGGGGTCTTTGCCCAAAAGCCCCCCGTCGTGGGTTAATCCAGCCCAGCTGACATGGATCTTCCTGAGAAAGCTCCCCTGATTGGATGCTTGAATGCTACTTCTAAAACTGTCCTCTGCCTGAACATGTAAACAAAAGCGATGACTATGGGGAAATATTAAAAACACTGCCAAACACAGCCAGAAAATAAACAATTATAAAAATGTCAGTTATTTTCATGTCATAGATAGAAGAAAGTTGTCTAAAGTCCATGACCTTTTAACCTTGGTCATTTATTCCCTAATATTCCCTGAGAGCTGGAGATTGCTACTATTTGTGACATCACAAAAGGTGAAGCCAATCATGGCTCAGCGTTTATATTAATTGTCAATGTGGACATTTCCAGAAAAAGGTATTTGGGTGAAAGCAGTTCGAGTGGAGCTGTGGTGGAGCTGCTAAATATATATATATATAAATATATAAATAAATCAGACTGTGCTGTTTTTGGACGCAGACCAAAGCCGGGAGCTTCCAGACACTATTTGCCAAGGAATCCTGTGCTGAAACAGAAGTAGGTGGACAGCGTTTAAGAAGACCTTCAAATAGCCTTCAGTGGCAATCCGGATTCGAGGCGCACATTTTAGTAACGATTGTTCCTTGAATTTCCTTCAGAGGGTCCATGGGCTTTGCCAAAAAAGTTTATTCTGACGCCCGATACAGCGTCGTGCATTTCTCCTTTGCATGTGTTAGTGTTTATTTTATTGCCCGAAGCTTCCAAAGAGACACTTTTCCTCCGTGCAACTCCCTGCCTGAGGTCTGTGTATGGCGGCTGTACACAGTGCTGTCGCTGGCTGAAGTCAACCACTCACACACAGCTCAGCGACATAAAGCAACCCGACGTGATATAAATAAGGATACTTTAGTTGCAATGGTACTTCTGTTAAGTTACTGTGTTTGGGGTGAGTTGTGGACGTATGCTTTGGAACCCCGCAGCAGGAGCGTAAGACGTCACTCTGACGCAAGCCCCTCGGTTTTGACGTGATACGTATTGATTAAGTGTCTAAATTCTTGTTCGACTATTCTTTAACTTTTTTTTCTCTATTTATATTTTTGTTTATTCTTTAATTTGTCCTCTTTTAATGTACCTACTTCACATGTTTACCTTGTTTCGTACTTTCTGTAATTATTCTGACTTAGAATAAACTCTTTAAACACCATGGCGTTTCTAATTTAATTATTTCTGTAACAGTTTATCCAGTAAAAGTTTTATACTTACTGTAGTGCTTTCAAAATCCAATGTGTCCATTATACAAAACCTGCTGAAGTAATAGGTAAACATAGGCTTGGTTTAAAAGGTTAATGTGAGGTGGTCTTAAAAGGGCGAAATTGTTAAAATAGGTTCTTGCTAACATTGGTAATTACTTGTCATTGTTAGTGTGTTTTTCCTGTAAAGTTTATGCAAAATGTATGTGCAATTGCAATATTGTTTTAGTCTTTGACGAAGGGTGCAGCTGCATTATGTTTATAAAGAGCAGATGTGGCAGAATGAAAACTGATACACAGGAGAAGCCCGGGGTGGGTGTGTGTCTTTCAAATGAGTGACAATTGCTCTCTCTGTGCAAAAGTGCTTTCCCATGTATGACATTATTCTATATTGTATACAGTCTGTTATTGTGTGTTGGGATCACAGGTGTCCAGACAAAGCTGGCCACAACAGGTGCTGGTGCTGGCACAGACGAGATCACAGTACAGTCCGTTGGAGGGCTAATTTCAACCTCTCAGAAACCTCCTCAATCACCTCCAACTGATTGCTCACAGCCTGAAATTGAAGCGCGTGATTGATGCGTGACTGTGGTATTTCTTGTTACAAGTCTGTCATGGAGGAATCAAGTAATGTCACCGCAGTACTGCAGGAATGTTGGACCAGAAATCAGTTGAGAATTCAGTTGCCCAAGTCTGTATCCTGCAGTGTCTCATTACAATTGAATGCATTTTGCTTAACAAGAGCATGCTGCAAAACAGAAAACTTGATGAATTAATGTAGTGCCTCTGCTCGTCTAAATGAAACACTGCTTTTAACTTATCTCATTATAATGAGAACACATCTGTTGTTATTGTAAAAAGTTTGACAAGATTATTTTCTTATTATAACTAGATGCTTTGTCACAATAACAGGATACAGCTCTTATTGTAGAAACAAAAGAATATGGCTTTTTTTTTCTCTTTTCAGTAAACTTCCACCCTTGTTAATGCAGTAGATTCTATAATCGTGCAGGCACCGTAGGAGTCAGCTCCTCCATGGAAGGGAGAATGTGCTGCGATAGAGCCATTTTAGTTGACTTCGGTAACACAAGATGATGCATTATTTCTTATGAGGTAGCTCGTTCCGTCATATTTTCTTCGGCTTCAGTTTGACAGAAGGTTGAGGTACTCTCTCTGCTCTACGCGCCCCCCGTTTTTGGACTTTTTAATGAAAAGATGGCAAACGCATTAATAGTTAAACTGGATAGTGAAGAAATTAAAGTTACATAGCTTTTGATTGACCTGGATGTCACAAACTAATGCTTCAACTTCAATAACTAACTTGTACTGACAGCTTAGGGTAGGTAAACATATTTATATCATCAGGTTATTTGTGAAATGTGCCTTACTGACAAGGCATAGGAAATTAGTTATTCATTATATCACTCAGATTTAGACAGAATGAAGACAGTAATGACGGCTGAATGGTTCCATCATTACCCATCCATCCCAAATACAAAATGTCAGTTTTTGTTGAGTAATGATTTAGCTAAAAATGTTTAATTATTGTACCGTAATCAAAATAAGGAAACCCTTTTGTTACCTGCAATGCAAATATCATGTTTTTAACAGGATAATGTAAAGCAGACATATATCATCCCTCCCAAACCCATTTCATAGGGCTAAATTACTGAAATGTCAACATGAATGTAAAGATTCATAAATTTGGAAACAAGCACTGAGTGGGAGCTGCAAAAAAATGGTATCATGCAGGAGGCTTGATGATGTAAGACCGGGGGCAGCAATAAGAAGCTGTAGTTTCTGACAGAAATACAGGTAAAACCTTCAAACTGTGCTGGGGATGAAAAACCAGCTTTTCATCTGAGAGTGTCTAATAAACACACCAAGGTATCATCATTAACGGTGAATCGACAGTTTGGCACCCCATTTATTTCCAGTATTCACAGTTCCTCCCACACTCTCCATATTACTGCCACACAAAAACATAACTGCTGCGTGTGGCGCATAGGACACAAAGGGTTCAAGTGGAGATGACAGCAGCCATTGAGCACCCCGCATGTGTAAATTTCAAAGGCCTGTTGCTGTCTAAAGTTTCAAATTCAGGAAACGTACAGTGAGCGAATACAGCTACACATTTTTAAAATTTCTAATAAATAATATGTTTGTTTTACAGATATGTACATCCTAAAATACATTACATATATAATATGTGTTACAGAACATGTTCACTCAGTAGTTTTGCGTAGTGCTCTGGGTGATTTCTTTTAAGGTAAACATTCATTTTCCCTTCCACTCGCTGATCTCCAGTCAGACCTGTGGAGGAGAACAAATATTTATGTCAATGAAAGCAGGTCACAGAAAGGCAAAGTGACATCCTACATGATGAATATTACACATGATAGTGAACATGTTATATTTATATATATTTGACAGCTTTGAGCTCACCCAGCTTCCGAGCTGTTCTCTCAATCTTCTCCAAGGCAGACTGCACATCTCCTCCCTCTGGTACCAGGACCTCTATCTCTCCCACGTGGTAGCCAAAGTCAGCTTGGTCGAGATCTATCTGCACCCCCTCCTCCTCCAAAGTGAATGACCGCCGCACAGTTGTAAACGCCGCAAAGCATACCAGATTAATTTTGCTCAGCCAAGACTCCTCATCCTCCTGTGAGGAGCTCGTCTCTCGGCGCTCACAAACGTCTTTTACGACCTCTCTCACTCTCGTTTGAATTTCAGGCAGGTTGGTTATCTCCTTGTAGCGAGTACACAGTGCTGCCGCTTTAGATTGCTCTCCACTTGTCTCTTCCGTCCTGTCAACTGGTGTTGGGCACTTGAGCTCCCAGCATCCTTTACGATTACGCAGCCACATGTCCTTTAAAGTCAGGTCAAACTTGGGGGTGTCAAAGTACTGGTCAAGAAACTGGCGCTGGCCTACACACACTGCTGAGTAAAAGAAGGAAGAGAGACAGATGATTTCACAAATGGGTAAATAAATATAAAAATACTAACGAGGCTGATGCAGATAATTAAACTTCATTATTAACAAGAGACAGATGGTGAGTGTCACTACAGATACAGAGCAAACCACAGCAATTAGTGTCATTAAATGTTGTAAAAGTCCTTTAGTGACCATTTGTGAGTTGATGTGGATCACAGCATCAGTTAAATGCCTCAATTCTAAATTTACCCATGCATGAAAGTGTGGTAGACAAATTAAACACATACCGCCAATCTCCTCCAGTGTTTTCAGAGTGTCAGCACTGCATAAAAACTTTCTTTCCACTTCCACGCTCATCTGAAATGACACCAACAATACAGTACAGCTACTTTCACTTTAGCCTGCTTTGAGATTAAGTAACCTAATCGGCATAGATATAGGTTTTATATAAAGGTTATGTTGTTTTTGTTTTGTTTGCCCTCAACACTCACAATTTAATGGGAATTAACAGTTTTGAGGCACCTGTATTTTGCTTGATTACATCCATTTTATACTTGAAGTTTGGAACAACTGTGTTTAAGACGGAAATATTTATTTATATAATAATATAATAATAATTTATTTCACAGCTTTAGTCAGTTAGCCGACTCTGCAGATTACAATATTACATACAAAATATAATGCCCTTCCAGAAAGGGTGGGTGCATCATTTAAAGATACCTACCACATTAATTCAACCTGCTGTATTAAAATACATCTTACACAGTATTGCACTCGTAATAATAATCTAATACAACAACAACAACAACAATAATGATGATGATGATGTACTACGTAACATTTTGAATGCACGACTTTTAATTAACTATTTCTAACATTGTAGTATCAAAAGCTATGCACACTTCTCCCAACACTGTATTTCACCTTTCTCTTTTAGCTTAGTTATACATTTTATAGTTATTCTGTTTGAATGGCTACTGTCTGTAAGTGCTCCAAACTGAACTGTCACTGTACCAACTGTGTTACTATAAAGTCACACAGCAGCAGCTCCTGTAGCTGCACCTGTGCCATTCAAATAAGGCTGGAGTCATTCAGCCCAAGCTGCTGCTGCTGCGGAGTCATACATGAACTACGAGTGGAAAACACCAAACTGAACTTCTGACTTAAAAAAAATAACCCGTCTACGTAGCGCATCGCACTCGCACACACCTTCACGGGTCAAGTCCTCAAATCCAAACAATTCGGCATCAGAAAGTGAGCGACAGATCAATCCCAGCAGCCCCTACACGTCAGCGAAGTTTATTTTCGCACAGGCGCACTCAGAGACACCTATCAGTGTATTCAGGGACATCACTTCCTGTCCCAGTAACGCAGGGGCATACAGATGGTGCAGTTTTAATCCTCTCTGCTTCATAAATATTTATTCCACATAGCCGACTGTTGATATGCGCCACACCTCATCATTTGATTGAAAACATGTCATAAATCTCGCGGATGGCGCGGAGTGAAGCCTCTCGCGGTCACATCTCCATTATTCAGCCTTAATTAACTCGTCACACTCTTTGTGACAATCCGAGTTGGCAGAATGGGGACTCATTTTTTATTCACCTTTTTTTTACTGTGAACCGAGGCAGGGGTTTCATATTAAAGGGGATTCCGTGTAATCTAGGCATCCACATACTTTCTTTTTTTTTTTTTGTTGAAAACTATCTATCATCCTTTTTTTATTATTATTTTACCCCCCTCCACTCCTCCTTTTATCTGTATTGCTCAATAAGTAATCGGTGTTTCAGCATACATTAATAATCTCTAATATCTGCGGGGTTACATAAGGGATTTGATAGCCGTGTCTGTCCCCTCTGAATGTCAGCAATCAGCCTTGGGGGGGAGCTGTGGTCTGTTTACTTGAGGGAAGAGGGGAAGGAGAGAGGGATAGGGCGAATGAAGGGAGGGGGAGAACAGGAGAGAGAGAGAGAGAGAGAGAGAGAGAGAGAGAGAGAGAGAGAGAGAGAGAGAGAGGGAGGGCAGAAAACTTTTCACTTCTGAGGAGCCACAGAGGAAGCGTGTGTGTGTGTGTGCGTGCTGGAGCGGCGACCATGCAGGTAAAAACGCATTAGCTAATTGCTCCCCGAACTTAATTAAAACGTCATCCGCGATCGGTTAATTGTGCTGATTTGAGCGGCGAGAGTGGCCTGCGACCGGTAGAGGATCGAGCCAACGACGGATTGTGCCACATACTAATCCGATCCCTTATAGAAATCCAACATTAAATCCCAAACTTTTTCTGCCTCTCGTCTCTTTCGCCTGCTCTCCCTTACACCACCCCCATCGTCGAGGCGACCGCGGCGCACGTACTCCGCTTTCAAGTAGCTTTTTTAGCGTTTAATTCTTACGCCAATTACGGCTCCAAGCTGTTAAAAAATGATAGTTTAAATGGCCATGTGTTGCACCGTAAGTATTTAAGGTATGGATTTGAGCGCTAGGACGCGTCAAAAAGGGGGTCTGCTGGGCGGCGAGGGAGGAGGGGGTGCGAGTGTTTTCTAACACATCTGTAAACGGAGCCCACGTTCATTAATTAAATGGCTTTAGTCCGGCTAGGCCTCAATTTGCGCTGTTGAGCAGCAGGCGGCGGGCGGTGCAACACTAGATGCCCGATTGGCAGCCCACAATCAGAGGGGTGAGGACATAACTCGAGGCCGAGGTTTTTTTGCTCTGAAGCCTAGTGAGTGTGTTTTCTATCCTGGGTGAACTCGGTCGGTGTATTGAAGCTGCAGTTCCCACCTGGACCGGGCAGAGTTTGCGGGGAGCGGAGACTAACCAGTTGGGAGACAGTTTGAGGAGCGGTTAATTATCTCTGCCTGCTAACAGGCTAGCTAGCAAAGTGACACGACTGTTATTAGCTCAGCCCCCTTTTTCTTTTTTTTTTTTTTTGGGTTTTTTTTTTTGTTTATGAATTTCATGACCGTACAGCCGAGAGCCAGCGACGAGGTTATACCGACGCCTGCTCGGTGTTTCGCAGTTTGAGAGAAGTGAGTAGCTATCACTGCGGGGGTAATTTGAGAAAAACTAACAGCTAACCAGCATTTCCAGAAACACGACTGTAATGCGACGTTACAGGGGGGCTTCTCAACCTAGCTTGCTAGCTAATTGATTCATCTCTGGTCGGCATAGCTAATTAGACCGCTCATTAATTAGCCAACTCTGAGTAGAGAGACGTCAGTCTAGTTATATCTTGGCTTTTTAATTATGAAACTCGTGATGAGGAGCTTTTACACATGATACACTCTGCAGATACAGACTTGTCGACATATTATCTGCTCATATAACCCTGCTAGCTTGCTAATTGGCATGGCGAGGAAGTGAGGGTTGGAGCTGTGTTGGTATTTCTCCTCATGAGCATGAATTGCTGTCTCGGTTGCATTTTGGGATTATGAATTGTTTGCTGCTGCTGCTGCTGCTGCTGCTGGGTGGTAAATACAATCCACACTATTTGGTCTATTCCGACTATCTAAAAACTGCATGGGAGTAACATTTATTTGACCATGCGTGTCGAGGAAATGCAGTACGATCGCTGGTCATGTTTGATATGTTGGATACATGTTCTGTTGGTTAAAGCTGGGGGGGGGGTTAGTGGTTAGAGAGACAGTATGCTCATTGTAAATTGGAAGTGCATGTTATAATTTGTGCAGTGTTACCACAGTATATTCTACATTTAATGTGTTTCATGTGCACATATCAGATCAGTTAGTTGAAAGTTAAGACTGAATGCAAAGCGGCATGAAACAATAGGTCTTTTATGTAGAGTGCAATGTAAAATCTAATGAAAGCATTAGATGGATACTCCTTTACATTACAGAGATGTTGTTTAAACAGTTGCATTATTGTGTTTATTTGTGTTTAGGCCATAGCAGACAAAATGTTGGGAATGTCCCTACAAAACATGGCTAATGTTGTTTAAGAAGTCGGGAATTAAACTTCAAAAGATCAGGGAGAATGAGATACTGATCTCGGATTAGTTTTACTATTAAAAAGGACACAACATGCTTATTGAACGGTATGCTAACTGGCTTTTGATTGTGGGTTCAAATTGTTAAACACAGCAATGCATAATAAGTGCCGGTCACCAACAATCAACAGTATGCTTTTATGTGTGTGGGTGCAGCTACCCTCTCGATCGTGGTCACAGGAACTTGCATCACACTTTATACAGCATTTGTGATCAATAATAACACCTCCAGAAAGAGTCACAAACATCCCTTTTTTTTACCCTTTTTTGGGTAGGAGGAGTCTGGAGAGACGGTGAACAGTGAAAGCAATGGAGTGGCAGAGTGGCTGTGCCCCCTGTGCCAAAAAGGACAAGCTGACCGATCCTCCCTGTCTCTACATCTCACTGAGCAACACAGCGTACTTCCATCTTGTGTCGACAAACTGCTGGACATTGTAAGTATGGCTGAAATCATAAATATATCATGAGTTCACATGTTTGTTTTTCTTTCCCCCACGCAAGTTTTACTATCTGAGGGGTAGAACTTGATTACCGTGGGTAGTACATTCATTATGTGCATAATGTTTAACTTGTTGCTGGCTGATACAGGAGTTGGGCTAATCATCAAATGCCTTGCTATGCTGTAGCACTGCATAAATACAAATTTGATGAAGGTCAGTAGGGTTTGTGTGTGACACTCAAAGATGTTGGTTCAACTTTCTGAGGCACTCAAGGTGAGAAGGGCCTGAGAGTTGATGCCTGAACTGCTGGGGCATCTGTATCAAACAGTGCAAAGTTATGCAATGTGACAAGTTGACAACTGCATCAGCAAAGAGGAACAGTGGTCATAAGTAGCCTTTCACCAACATTCAAAATAACTCTTAAACACATATCTAAACTTCACCAAACCCGTATTCCCTGATGAGCTACTGTATTATGATTTGTTTCTTTTGCTGTGTCCACCCTCTGTTGTACATATTGTATATGAACAAGTGTCCAGTGGATGGTTAACTTTATGAATCCCCTGGTTTGCTCACTAAAGCACAATAAAGAAACATGAAAATAGGCACAACTTTTTTTAACAAGTTTTATTAAACAAAAATGTGAATCCTCTGACATTCCCGTATGTAATTACTAGGTAATAGCGTATGGGTGTAACATGTTATTACTAAATATATAATGTAAGTCAGTGTCCATCATATTTTAGTATTTTATTCAGCTGTTTTAACTAAATACAATGACTTCTGTCTAAACATAAATGATCTAATACATTTCTTACTAAAAATATTATCCAAAGACCCACAGCTGGACAAAATATTTATTTGACAAGATTGTTTACAGTCGGGGAAAACGTACACCTATTTCTGCATAATCAATTAATACATTAGTAATAAAGAGAGAAGTTGAATTATTAGTTGACAGATGAGTGTATTGTTTTCATGATTTGTTTGTGCAAATTCTATTTTTTGACCGTCAGCAATAAGTTAGTGTTTGTTATTTTCATGGTTTGAATATTAAATTGTTTGCATTAACCAGTGACCAAATATGTTAGTTTGAAAGTATTTCAGGGTCCTTACACAATATGGAAGAGTATGACATTTTATTTGAGTGTTGTCCAGGTCTGGATAAGTAGTAGATAAGTAAAAAGGAAATTGTAAGCCATATAAAAGAGATTTTAGTTGTCTTTTCTAGTTCTCTGGTGAATTGTACATGAACCCTCTGTTACTGTAGGGGTTCATGGTATACATTTACTTTAATCTGCATGACAAAAACTGAATAAGCTTGCTCTGTTTTAGCATGGCTGCTTGAATAAAATGCTGATTGAACTTGTGTAGGTTTGTTGATATTGATCTTCTTGCAGTTATTTGGTGATATGATGGCATACATACAAAATGTAACATGCATATTAATTTAGGATAATAACAATTAACCCATCGATTTGATTATTTGCATTACATTTGGTTGTTTTTAAGCGTCGTTTTTATAAGACTCTGTTAGCAGAGATGTTTGAGTATGCTAATTATGTGTTTAATGTATCTAGGCCTCTAAGTCTTTATATGTTTCATATGCTATGCAGTGCTGTTAAAGAATATGCAGTAATGTGCTGTGGAAAATAAGCTTTAAGGATAAAAACACATTTGTTGATATTTAGTATAAGCAAAATCTTTATTTTATTATTTTTAATTAGGATTAATTGATCCCATTAATTGAAACACGTACAATTTGCATCCCTTATGTTGACAGTTAGATTTTAAAACCCGACGTCTCCCCGAGCTCTGCACGGTGGCTGCCCGCTGCTCCGAGTACTTAGGCAAGGTCAAATGCAGAGAATGAGTTTCCCTA